ACGAGGAGTCCTTCTTCTGTTGCTTCTCCCCACCCTTCTTCTGGCTCAGGAGCTCGTCGGCATCAGCGTGCCTATCTCCGCGTCGAAGCGCCGCGAGGTATGACCGCGGGGGCTCAGTGAACAGACTTCGGGCGAAGTGGCTCGGCCGAAGTGCTCCACGGAGGAAGGCCAGGAGGGTGCGTTCATCGGCTCCTTCACATTCGTCCGCCTCCCTTGTCCAGCGATCGAGGAAGGTTCGGAGCGTTTCCTCCGGTTGTTGTTTGATGGTCAGGAGATGAGCGAAATGCTTCTTCGCGCGTTTCCTCCCGGCAAAGTGGGTGAGGAAGCGTTGAGCAAGGTCCTGCCATGAGTCGATGCTTCCCTCCGGAAGGTTGTTGAACCAATCGTACGCTGGTCCCTCCAAGGTGGATAGGAACCAGCGACACATGTATTCCTCCAAAGCGTTAGTCATCATCATATTGTTCTGATAACGGGTGAAGTGCTCCTGGGGATCAGTGCGGCCGTCATATGGCTTGATCGGGTTTCCCTTATACTTCTCTGGGATGGGGGCAGAGAGCACCCTCGCGGAGAAGGGGGTCCTTGTTCTTATCTGGATGACGGGCTCGTCACGTCGGTCGGCCAATTCCCTTTCCAGAGCGCTGACCTTGTTCAGGAGCGCGTCGTAGTTGGGATGCTGGGATGTATGAGCCGCTGCGCGCCCTGCGGCCTCCCGGGCCTCCATATCAGCGAGGCGCTTCTCCAGGCGGGCGATGATCTCGTCCCTTGGGTCCGTGTTGGCCGCAGCGCCACCCAGAGGGGTCTGGATCCGGGCTGCGTGGGCCAGGTTGATTTGGTGACGCGCATCGTCACCATTCAGCTTTTCCCTTCCTTTGTCAGGTCGGGGCCGATCCGTTGTCCGGGAAACGGACCCGAAGCTTTCCTTTGGCGACCCCGGCTCGCGGTTGCCCAACCGATCCGCCACCCTTCCCGTAGGTACCCGACGGCTCGCGATGTCACCCAGCCTATTGAAGGCTGAGATTTTACCGCGAGATTGGGCCGGTGTATCCCGGGTAGTAGAGGCGGTATGGGAGTGGGTGTCCACGGCGAGGACGTCCTCGTTGTCGCCGAAGAAGGTGACGCCTTGTGGACGAGGTGGCGGCGGCGGCACCGTCGCGACCTCTCCCGTTACAGGAGTGTTGTTTTCCCCGGTCTTTGCGACAAGAGCGCTGACGACGTTGGGGTCCTGGAGGATGCTCGCAACAATGGCCGATAATGCAGCCGGGTTGATCTGGGGAGCAGCAGGATGAGAGGCCTGCTGGCCCGAAGTGCGATCAGCGTTGCGTCTGTCTTCAAGTCCGATGCGAGCATCCGGAGCAGTCCTGTTGAGCTGGACGCGAAGGTCAGCCGTTGCGTGCTCGACCTCCTGAGCATTCTCATCCTGGATGATGAGGTCATTGGGGACGTTGTCAGCAACGTTTCCCTGCCCTTCCTGGTTCAGGGGGGCGTTCCTACCAGTGTTCTTTGACCTAGTTCTTGTCATAGCTAGTGGTAGTGTCTGGCAGCGACGAAGGGTACTCACTTGATCTGTTCTAAGCTCTCAATGAGAGCACCAAATGATGGGGTATTAATTCTAGAGAGAAGTGAGAGCTAGAGAGAGAAAGTGAGTAATTATATTTCTCAACCCCCTATAACTAGCCCCAAGGGGCCTATTTATAGGAAAAAATGTGGATTTGGGCTCCTAGCTATGGGCTTAGGAGGCCCATTACAATAATCATGCCTTCTTTGGGCGAAATAGGGCCACTAATGGGCTGTGTACAATACTTAGTAAATAAAGTAGAGAGATGCATTCTGCCCGCACGAAGCCGGGCCGATGCGGTGCCTTTTGGCCGATGCGGTCCCATGGCCGATGCGGTCCATGGGCCGATGCGTTCCCGGGAGTCCATGCGTGGTTCCTGGGCCGGTTTGGTTTCTGGCCGATGCGGACCCACTGGCCGAAGGGGGCCACGTGGGTGTTCTTCTGGTCGTCGTTGACTTGAGTATGTGGGCCATGGGGTCCAGGCCCATATACTCTATCAATACCAATACTAAATGCCAGTTGCCGCAAAAGCTATAAATCTATATAAATCATGCTACGTTTATAAATCTAATTCATTGATTTTACACATACCAGCTACATGAGCAATTTAGGGTCTGTTTGCAACAGCTTCTGCTTTTAAAAAAGTGCTTTTTTAAATGAAATGGGGAGAAGTGATTAAATAAAAGTTGATAGTGTTTGAGAAAAAAGTGATTTTGAAAAGTAAAAGTGGGTAGTGTTTGGCAAAATAAGTGCTTTTTGTGTAATAGAAAAAGTAAAAGCACTTTTGACGCGGAAGCCGAGAAAAATAAAAGTTGTAGTGTTTGGGAAAATAAATGCTTTTTTAAAGCCAAAAGGTGAGAAGTGCTTTTTTAAAAGTAGTTGCAAACCAACCCTTAGCATTAGTTCAATTTGCCGATGGCGTATTTCCAAAACCGCTCATCAAAAATCAGAAAGTGGTGAATTTGGGTTCAACTTTTTTTTTTTTAAACTACAAGAATTTACTTTTTCAAAATGTGCGTTACTTTTTCCACGGAATTGTGCGAGAGTGGGTGTCTTTACAGGCTTCACACCGTTAAAAGCACTTTCCGATTTTCAACAGCGACGTCCAAAGTGTTGCTTCCATGTCACATTCAAAGAGCTCATAAAAGAATGCATTGGAGAGGAAAAATTCATGACACGTTTGAAATTAATGATGTGACAAATTTTTACAATGTCAAAAGAAGAGCATTGGAGATGCTCTAATGAATGTTTGCTTAGAAGATGACACATGACAAAAACTTTCCATAATTGTATCTATGAAATGTATTATGTATAGATTTCTTTCGAGATAAATGATCGAGCAAGATGTGTGTCTAGCTTTATTCAGAACCCGTAATCAGAATACATACGTTGGGTGACCCTGTCGGCTTATCAGGCTAATCAGATAACTTTTTCATCAAACACGTAACTTTTAATTTTGCGCGCTGAATTGTGACATATTGTGTAGAGGCCGGGTCATTTTAGATATTTTTCATATAATATTTTCTTTATTTTATTTATAAAATACATTTTAAATACGGAGTATAATTTCTTCATAAATCATCAATATCAAGCAATGCAATCACTTCAGTCAATATAGCCGATTTGAAAATTACGAAGCGGGCTCTCCATATCATTTTAAATTAAAGATTTTATATAAAGACTGAAAAATGCAAAGTCGTTGGTATTTATATAATTTTAAAAGATAAAAATATGAGTATTTTTTTATGCTCAATAAGTTTTGAAAATTGTATACTCAATTGCAGAGTTTCAATATTCAATAGGAGAGACTTGTGCTCAATGCAAATATTTTACTTATTAAATTAGATTGGCGTAATGAGATTCATTTGAGTTGAATATAGATACTACCCCCATCCCAATTTGATAGTCTCAGTTCCTATTTACTTGGTCAACGCAAATCATTCTTAATCTCTTACTTTATATATCAAATTTTTATCAAATTTGATTCTGATTTATGTGGCTTTGTAAAGTTTTTAATGTAGTTTCTGAAAATGTAATTTTTTTTCTAAAAATAATTTGACTGCGGACAAGGATCTGTTTGCTTTATCGTCGGTCAAACATCGTCGTAAACCGCAACGAGACTATCATTTTGGGACGAAGGGAGTATAATTTAAGAAATTTTTATAAAAGAAAAAACAAGGAAAAGAAAGTGAATTAGAAGATAAGAAACAGAGATTACGATACTCAATATTAGACTCTTAATGTTCAATAAAATAGACCAGATGCACAATATAAGAGCACTGATGTTCAATTAATAGAAGTTGCGGTTTTCAACTAATCTACAAAAAGGCCACCGACTCTAAAGTTAAACCGTAAAACCGGTGGTACGGCAAATGAACTCGGAAATGTCTGGGTGTAGAAATTAGAGTAGACTTGCTGACTTGATAAAATAAAAATAAGAGGTTAACATAAATCTATTTATGGAGTATTTTTACGCCACTTTTCCGTTGCAGTGAGACATATTTCTGGCGTACATGTCCCTGCAGCTATTGCGCATATAGTGCTGTAATTGCCCATCAAATTAAAAAACAAAACCAGGAGTGAATTTCAGACGTTCTTCATTCTTCTTTCTTGTCATCCTGTGTTTCGGCCCAAGCTTCATCACCAGGCCACCAGCTCCTCTTCTATTATTATTGAATGAGGTATAGGGTTTTAATCACAATATTTTCCCCTACCCTCTTCCTTGATAGTTTTTTTTTTTACTCCAAGGGCGTTTGGGGAGCGGGTTGAGGAAGCGGTTCAGCCCAGCTGATCGCCGACTCATTCTCCCTTACGGGAGATCTCAGGTTCGAAACTCAATAGAGTGAGTATCAGCCCTGATTACTCCAGGCCCCCAGGCCCTGTCAGACGCCCCCTGGAGTTGAAAGAAAAAAATCTAATTTCCTTCTTGTTTTTGTGTTCTAGATAATCACTATTAGTTACTGATATTTTAATTCCTCTTCTTCATATAAGGTTGGATTTCAAGATTTCCCAAATGTTTAGCCTTTCTCAAGGAAAACGAAAAAAAAAAGTGAAGGAGGGTGGTGCATTTGATATACAAACTAAAAATGTTTGTTAATACAAGATGACTGCTTGGATAATAAAAGATCAATATGAGTGCTTTGATAAACGGAGTTTAAATTAAAAGAGGATTCAGTTAATCATAACGTCCATTTTAAGGACAGAGAATTGAAGTAAGATGGTGGTAGACGGTGGTGCATCATCCTCCGTATGTGACTTGGGCGGTAAAATCTTGTGCGTTGGAGGCCCTCTTCCATAGTCAAATGTCCCGTCATCCCACTTTGTAGTATGTGTATTAGAAAGTCTTTCTATAGATAGACATCCTCCTCATAGTGTTTAGTTTTTATTTTTCTAAGTCATCAAACTTTGCTTATAATCGTAAAACATTGGAGAATAAAACAATTAGTCCATGTCTACTTTAATGATAAGGCATAATTTATTTAGACTAGAAAGAGTTGCATTCAGAATGCTCTAATTAACAGAGGCACAGAAGTACCCTTGAATTCTTCTTGAAATTACATAAAATGTCCAGAAGCTGAAATATGATGTTCTCCGCAAGCTTTCAAATGTGGGAAATGTACGAAATGTAAGGTGGGCAAGTTTTCAAGCTGCTTAAGTTACCGTACTATGAGGGGTTGTGACTCTATCATGTAGCCACCCAGCAAGAGCTACCGCCAAGAACCCGACCTTTCCACCCCTGTAGTACCCAAAGGCCGTCTTCAATAAAGAGAAAGTCTTTGTGATATGATGCTCGAGCCTTTCTCAATAACTTGTTGACAAGTTGAGAGTTTAAGGGCAAAGGCTTTAACCCTGCCCTCAACATGCGTGATTCCCATTGCTTATACGTTTCAGGCCTATGCAATCTTTCAATGCCCTCACATCCAATGATATTCATTGTTTCACGTCCAAGAAACTCTTGTTCGAAACTCAATCTCTGAGGATGATGGCGGTTGGGTAAAGTAGAGTCACACATATCAAAGATAGCAGAGTAGAAGAAGAGAGTTTCTCGAAAGCGAGGGAGAAAGAAAGGAGAGCTGTGAGATCCACTATGCACTGTTTGCACATATATATCCGGATTCACTTCCCGAATTAAGTTTAAAACTTCATCTTTAGGGTTGTACCCAGCAACTAAAGTCTCGTCCAATAGGTAATCAAATCGAAAGTTACTGTTAATAGCAATCACCTCACCACCACTCACAAGCTTCAAGTCATCAATCTTAATTGCCTCCCAGTGTTGTGATGTTAAGGCATTGAACTCGAATGGTACACCGTAACGCTCACAATATCTTGACAAGCGAACACCTGTCTCCACTAGCATTTGTGAAGGACGGAAACCAGTTTGGGGGAGCTCAATCCCTGTTATTCGAAGTCTTGGAGGGCCGCCGGGCCTTTGTGAAAGATCCCGAATAAGAGTCGGCCACTGGATCCCATAAAGAATACCAAAATCTATAATGTGCAGGGATGTGCCTCTTGAAGCTGCCTCAAAAATCATTTGATTCGAAAAGAAAGTTGATATTCTCATGATTGGCCACGATGTCAAGTACGATTTCGGAAACTCAGAAGCTGCAATGGTTTTAGGAGATATTGCTTTACATAGTTGTGTCCCAGTTCCAGCCAACCTCGCCTCGAGACTATTTGCAATTAAATGAGCCAACCTTTGATTGGAATTGCCCACCGGCGAAGAGTGTTGCCTGATCTCCTTTAATTGAGCTTGTGCACCCTTATAATCACCATCATGAACAGATTGTGCGCAACTAGTTAGAAGAGACAGCACATCTACAATGTCACAATTATCTTCCCATTTCTTTGAGTGGCGACGACCTCTTCGCCCTTTCTCCCCAACTCCAAATGAATAACCTTTATCATCACTACACAGTAAAACCTTATCAAACATTTGTGATAAATCAACCTCCTCATATACCGCAGACTGTTTGCTTTCCCTCTCTTCTTCTAGCCCACTTTCTTGTGGAAGGTAATAATGCTTCTTTCCTCTATGTGAATGGTCTTTCTCTGTATCAATGACAATGACATCTTTGGTAGCCTCTAAATCATCCATTACCAACTTATTGTGACCGGGAAGGAACCTACTAGCTTCTTCCATGCATCTCTGGAGTTCCAATTTGGACTCGGTATCATCATTCCCGCCAAATACATTTCGAACCGCCGAACTAGCTCTTAGGAAAGACATCATTGCATTGTCAAAGTTGTATGAAGAAGAACCATTTAAGTCATAATTATCTGATGATGATGTTAACTGGATGGCGAGATTGGGAGGACGTTCGCTTGTCACACATGGTGATTCCGAGTCTCCGGGATCAACAATACCATCAACGTTATCATGCCAGGAGCTTCTTCCAGCACTGCTATCAAATAGTGAGGAAGGATTCTCATGCAATGCTTCATAATAAGAATTCTCAGCAGCTTTAAGAGCAATGAGATCAAAGGGCTCATCAATGCTCTCCTCCTGCTCCTCCAATAGAATCTGGGTAATGTATTTCAGCACGGGATCAGCGTCCGAAGTAGCAGTACAGTTCAGGGCATTGTTTCTCACCCCATTATACATAACCTATGCCCACATATTGGATGGAAGATTGGTAAGCAGACATCAATAGATATAATAATATTTCCAAAATTAATACTGATAATAGTAATATTGGAAATTCACAAGAATAATCCCTACTTTTAGGGATTGTACAATAATAATAATAATCACTACTAAAAGTGTTCATAAAAATAACATGAACTAGCAATATTGTCCACAAGAATAAATTGGGATGAATTCAAATTAGTGCCCGTTTCATACTCCCAACCCATATTTCCACTTTCCCTTTCACCACTCTTCGTCTCACTCAACAGTTCCATCTTCCAACCTAGATATAACCACATATGACAAAAATGGCATTGAGATCAAATGAGTTTTAGTGTGAATTCACCCTGAGAAGAAGAGCGGGGGTTAGAAAAGTGCAAGTAAGGGTTGAGATTATTAAACGGACATTAATTTGAATTTATTCCAATTTATTTTTGTGGACATTGATGTTAGTTCGGATTATTTTTATGAATAATCTTAGTAGGGAGTATTATTGTAGAATCTCTAAAATTGTGGATTATTTTCATGAATTTCGCCTAATTTGTTAAAGTTGTTTTTATTATTAGTTTCATAACATTAGTCACTTGCAAGTTTGGTGCTACAACTAATAAATCTTTGCGTTTTAAGGACTTTCCAACAGAAAAGTACACTTTCTGGCTAAAATATACCAGAAAAGTTGCTACCGGCGTTGGACTTATTGCCGAAAATTGTATTTTCCGGTGAAATAATCTTCGGTTGCAAAGATTTATTAGTTACGAGTTTTTTTAGTTTATTCACGTATAATTCGCGTAAATATAATTCATGTATAAGTTTATTGTTTTCTGAGTTTTTTGAAAAATTCGCAAAAATTCGTGTATTTTAAAAATGAAAATTATAATACACGTACAAGACATATTTTTGTGTGTATTCTAAAGAACAAATAAGTTAGAACCCAACTAAAGGCCTAAATTTTGAAAGCCCCAATTGAAGTGTAATGTTATTCGAGTGTACAACACTTCTAAATTTTAAAATCTACTTACTCAATAGTAAAGCACAACTTTATACACGTACAAGACATATTTTTGTGTGTATTCTAAAGAACAAATAAGTTAGAACCCAACTAAAGGCCTAAATTTTGAAAGCCCCAATTGAAGTGTAATGTTATTCGAGTGTACAACACTTCTAAATTTTAAAATCTACTTACTCAATAGTAAAGCACAACTTTCTAATTGAAATTGAATTATAAATTAATTGCTATTGAGTACAATTAATAAATTGATATTGAGTACAATTGACAAATCAAATAATTTCTATGAGTTACATAATTAATATGGCAACTAACATGGCTTGAGTTTATTACATATTTACATTCCATACTTAAGCCATACACGATTTTGTTTTAATAATGAAATGATAATGCTTGAATTTTATTAATAATAAAATAACATTTTGTTGAAACTAATATTCATTACATTCCATATTTAAAATATGTTAAAATATGCTAACATATTGGATTCATTTGTTCTTGCGAATCCATTGCTTTAAAGGGACACTATTCAATTGATCAGTTTTCACTATTCATAAAATCTACATGGCTTGAAAAGTAAGTTTCAATTTTATACTATACGTCTTGTTCATTTTATAAATAAGAATTTATTTATTCACTCATTAAATAAGAAATTTCGATTTTATCCGTTTATTAGAACTAATCTATTTTATGAATAAAACCTATTTAGTTACGTTGCATTGAAGTGCTATATCTTTTATTTAAATACCTAAATTGGTACCGCTACTGTCATGAAAGAACCAGATTATTAAGAAAATGTATAAAATTTATTTTCATCATCCATTGAGAACTTCATATAACAATCCATAATAATAGTGCATTTGTTTGGCGGAGACTCCAATGTAGTGAGTCCGAGTGTATTTGTAGTTTTTTATTCTTGCTTTCTCATTATTCATTACAGATGGATCGTGATTTATCAAAAAACCATTTTAAATTAATTAATTTACTACGAGCTATTTGAAACATATTCTGATAAATGAGTAAATGACTTCAATAAATATTAAACAATCACATATTACTATTACTATTACTATTGCTATTGCTATTGCTATTGCTATTGCTATTGCTATTGCTATTGCTATTGCTATTGCTATTGCTATTGCTATTGCTATTACTATTACTATTACTATTACTATTACTATTACTATTACTATTACTATTACTATTACTATTACTATTACTATTACTATTACTATTACTATTACTATTACTATTACTATTACTATTACTATTACTATTACTATTACTATTACTATTACTATTACTATTACTATTACTATTACTATTACTATTACTATTACTATTACTATTACTATTACTATTACTATTACTATTACTATTACTATTACTATTACTATTACTATTACTATTACTATTACTATTACTATTACTATTACTATTACTATTACTATTACTATTACTATTACTATTACTATTACTATTACTATTACTATTACTATTACTATTACTATTACTATTACTATTACTATTACTATTACTATTACTATTACTATTACTATTACTATTACTATTACTATTACTATTACTATTACTATTACTATTACTATTACTATTACTATTACTATTACTATTACTATTACTATTACTATTACTATTACTATTAGTATTACTATTACTATTACTATTACTATTACTATTACTATTACTATTACTATTACTATTACTATTACTATTACTATTAGTATTACTATTAGTCTTACTATTAGTCTTACTCTTATTGTTACTGCTATTGTTACTGCTATTGTTACTGCCATTGTTACCGCCATTGTTACCGCCATTGTTACCGCCATTGTTACCGCCATTGTTACCGCCATTGTTACCGCTATTGTTACCGCTATTGTTACCGCTATTGTTACCGCTATTGTTACTCCTAATGTTACTGCTAATTGTTACTGCTAATTGTTACTGCTAATTGTTACTGCTAATTGTTACTGCTAATTGTTACTGCTAATTGTTACTGCTAATTGTTACTGCTAATTGTTACTGCTAATTGTTACTGCTAATTGTTACTGCTAATTGTTACTGCTAATTGTTACTGCTAATTGTTATTGCTATTGTTATTGTTATTGTTATTGTTATTGTTATTGTTATTGTTATTGTTATTGTTATTGTTATTGTTATTGTTATTGTTATTGTTATTGTTATTGTTATTGTTATTGTTATTGTTATTGTTATTGTTATTGTTATTGTTATTGTTATTGTTATTGTTATTGTTATTGTTATTGTTATTGTTATTGTTATTGTTATTGTTATTGTTATTGTTATTGTTATTGTTATTGTTATTGTTATTGTTATTGTTATTGTTATTGTTATTGTTATTGTTATTGTTATTGTTATTGTTATTGTTATTGTTATTGTTATTGTTATTGTTATTGTTATTGTTATTGTTATTGTTATTGTTATTGTTATTGTTATTGCTATTATTAGTGTTGTTGTTGTTGTTGCTGCTGCTATTGTTGTTGTTATACACTTTATATATATATATATATACATTATATATTTGTGTGTAATAATTCAATAAAGGATAAAAAAATTTAAACTATTGTGTTCGTTTTAATACACACCACTTTAATCATTTCAATTAAGAAAATATGTGTTCAAACTTATTCCGTCGTATATTGTTAAAAATAGTGTTCGTTACATTCCATATATGCCGTATTTTTAAACCGAAAACCAAAAAGTGCAATCCTTCGCACTTTGCACGGATGCACCTCTTTTTATTTGAAACATATGAAACATTCAACTTAAATGTTGTACTTTTAAAAAATATTCACCCTTTTTATTCTGGGTTTAGTTAAACCGAAAACCGAACATCATGATTTTTAATATTTAGTAAAATACCTTGTATTTGTTTTTACTCTTCATCTTCATGATATAAATAAATAACTTAGAAATATGAAAAAATGGTTAGCATATGTAACATTTTAAGTTTCACACATTTCATACATTCAATATGTCAATGTTAGTTAATTTACCTCCGTCGTATTGGATATTGCTAAATTTGTGTTAGATGCCACACATGATGATTCTGATTCTCCAGGATCAACAATACCATCAACATTATCATCACAGTAGCTTCTTCCAGCATGGCTGTAAAACAGTGAGGAAGGATTATCATGCAATGCTTCGTAATATGAATTCTGCGCAGCTCTAAGAGCAATGAGACCAAAGGGCCCATCAATGCTCTCCTCCTCCTCCTCCTCGAGTAGAATTTGGGTGATATCTTTTTGCACTGGATCAAAGTTGGAAGCAATAATACCATTCAAGGCGTGCTTTCTCACCCTATTATCCATAACCTATGCCCCATATAGAATTGAAGATGGGTAAACAAACAACAATAGATACAATAATATTTTGCATAATAATACTAATAATAGTAAAAAAAATACCAATAATAGTAATATTTTTTATCCCGGTGAGCAAACCACTCATCACTCAGATAGATAGATGCCGATGAACATTGTGCTTCATTAAGAAAGTACTACTAATAGTAATAATAATGATGAATTTAATAATGAAGGCATCTTCCATATATAACTTGTCTTTAATGTAGTAAAAAAAAACAGGGGATGGTTCAAATACAAAGACCTCTTCCCATGCAAAGTGAGAATGAATCTTGTGCATTCATTTACACATCTAATGACTCAAAATAAGCCAAAAATGCACAAAATTCGACCAAAATCACGGTGGCAGTTTCGTAAATGTGTTGCACTTTTTCGCCACCGCGAAAAAGTGCAACAGAAACACGAAATAGTGCAAGCGAAAATGAAAAAGTGCATATCTTCGCACTTTGCACGGGAAGATGTCTTTTTATTTGAACTCTTCCCTACACACACACACATGGGAGGGTTTGAATACAAAGAGGTCTTCCCATGTAAAGCGACAATTAATCTTTTGCATCCATTTTCAGATCTAATGGTTCAAAATGAGCCAAAAATGCACTAAATTTGATCAAAAACGCGGTGGCAATTTCGTAATTAAACAGAAGTTTTCTGTCATCGTGAAAAAGTGCAACAGAAACATAAAATAGTGCAACGCGCTGAGGAATAAGTGCAATCGTTCTCACATTGTACGGGAGCACCTCTTTTTATTTGAACTCTTCCCATTTAGTCCCATTTAAATTACCTTTTATCAAGTTACATATGAAACATTGAACTTAAATATTGTTTAAAAAATATTTACCCTTTTTATTCTATACTTAGTTAAATCGAGAACCGAACAACATAATTTTTAATATTTATTAAAATACTTTGTAATTGTCTTCACTATTCATCTTTAATTATGATATAAATAAAGAACTTACAAATATGAAAAATATATGGTTAACATATGTATCATTTTAAGTTTCACACATTTCATACATTCAATATGTCAATGTTAGTTAATTTACCTCTGTCATATTGGATATTGCTAAATTGGTGTTAGATACCACACATGATGATTCTGATTCTCCAGGATCAACAATACCATCAACATTATCATCACAGTAGCTTCTTCCAGCATGGTTGTAAAACAGTGAGGAAGGATTATCTTGCAATGCTTCGTAATATGAATTCTGAGCAGCTTTAAGAGTAATGCTTTCCTCCTCCTCCAGTAGATTTTGGGTAATGTCTTTTAGCAGTGGATCAAAGTTGGAAGCAGTAGTACCATTCAATGCATGCTTTATCACCCTATTATCCATAGCCTATTATCCATATGGAATGGAAGATGGGTAAACAAACAACAATAGATATAATACCACTAATATATTGTATAATAATACTAATAATAGTAAAAAAACACTAATAATAGTAATAATTTTTATCCCGGTGAGCAAATCACTCATCACTCAGATAGATGCCGATGAACATTGTGTTTCATTAAGAAAGTACTAATAATAGTAATAATAAGAGATATTACCGAAAATGGGACTAAAAAGTTTGAAAATTACAAAATAGGACTTCCATGTTTTTATTCCCAAAATAGGACTAATTACTGCCATGTTTTGACAGTACCAGACTTCAAACATGACAGTATTTTCCAAATTTGGCAGTAATTAGTCCTATTTTGGGAATAAAAACATGACAGTCCTATTTTGGAATTTTTGAAGTTTTTTAGTCCCATTTCGGGAACTTTCCCTAATAATAATGATGAATTTAGTAATGAAGGCATCTTCTATATATAAGTAGTCTTTAATGTAGTATATACATCTAGGATGAAGATTGTATACAACCCGATGAATACCCACAAATCTGCAATGAATTGCTTCATATAAAGTGGGAAAAACTGCATTGATCGAGAAATAGGTACATACCCATCACGTTATCCTCTCATTACCCGCCCCATTTTTAGTTTTATTTCGATAATACACTTTTGGAGTACATACAATTTGATCATGTAATTTTTTTTAAAAATATGATTTAAGTACTTTTAAGCTTTAGTTAATTTAGGTGGCCTTCTTCGTCTTGTGGTGTACAAGTGACTTTTCATGTTAAAAATAATGACTCACAAGGGGCTGAGCCAGTGGTCAGCCGATCCCCCTAAAAGTTTGAGAATATAGAACAGTGAAATAACTCCAATTTGATATTTTATGCCTTTCCTAACTTATTACGAGTAAAATGTCACGACTCCCAGAAAATGAGCACTTTCAAAATTTGAAATGAGTAAAATTTAATGTGTGATATTAATAATATTCCCAAATTTTAAAAATAATGTATAATTTACTCATTACTTACATGAAGTTTACAATATATATATATATATATATATATATATATATATATATATATATATATATACTTGTATATATATAATAGGGATGAGTTCAAATGAGAAGACATCTTTGATGCACAATGAGAATTAATCTCAGCCGTCCAAAGTGTCGATGTGATGCGCAATAACCCCTATCTGATGCACTTCAAACAGACCTTATTTGATGCGCTTTTCGCAACACTTTGGACGGCTGAGATTAATTCTCATTTTACACATTAAGACTTTTTTTATTTGATCCGAATTCTATATATATATATATATATATATATATATATATATATATATATATATATATATATAGGAGGGTTCAAATTCAAAGAGATCATCCCATGCAAAGTGAGAATTAATCTTGGGCATCCATTTTCAGATCTAATGTCTCAAAATTAGCCAAAAATGCACTAAATTTGATAATAAAAAAAGGCTAAAGGATCAAACAGGCCCTTGAACTGGCTTAAAGTGTTCAATTAGCCCCTTATATAGGAGGTTTTGCCCGGCCGTCACCAATTGGGGTGGCTCCCTGTGGAATTTTTTGATGAAACTTTTTGAGCATTTTCTTCATTAAGTCTAGTTTACTCATACCAAATTTCAGCTAAAAATTCAATCGGGAAGGCAGTCAAATGATTTTTTGAAGATAACTGCGAAGTTAAACAGCGCAGTACATTTCGGAAAATCATTTGATTGCCTTTCCGATTGAACTTTTAGCTGAAATTTGGTATGGCTAAACTAGACTTAATGAAGAAGATGCTTAAAAAATTTCATCAAAAAATTCTACCGAGAACCGCCCCAATTAGCGACGGCCGGGCAGAACCTCCTATATAAGGGACTAATTGAACACTTTAAGTCAGTTCAAGGGTCTATTTGACTCTTGAGCCATAAAAAAACATGCTGGCAATTTCGTAAATAAACATAAGTTTTCTGTCATTGCGAAAAAGTGCAACAAAAACATGAAATAGTGCAACGCGCTGAGAAATAATGGCAATCGTTAACACTTTGCACGGGAGCATTTCTTTTTATATGAACTCTCCCATTTAGTCCCATTTAAATTACCTTTTATCAAGTTACATATGAAACATTCAACTTAAGTTTCGACCCCTTTGAGTCATTTTTCTGACTCCACCATTGACTCTCACTTAAGTTAATAGCTAGTCGTGACTGTACTCGTTTCACATTAGATCGCGTTGTTATGATATGGATAAAAATTACATGATGCATAAAGTGGTGGTAAGAGGCAGGTACAAATATATCAATAACGAGTAGGTCTGGGCCCGGAAAACCGAAAACCGAATCAAATAAAACCGAACCGCAACCAAATAAAACCGAAGCGCTAAGTAACCGAATGTAAAAAACCAAACCGAAGTTATTTGGTTCGGTTTTGATTTTTACCCTTCAAAACCGAACCGAACAAACCGAACTATTTAAAATATGAAATTTCTATGTTAATTGTTAAGCATTAATTCTAATTAACCTTAATATCATCAATAGTCTTTGGTTTTCTTGTCTTAGAGAAATAATGTTTGTGTTATGTTTAATTTAATTTAGTTTATATATTCATTTATACATTCATTGTCTGTAACAATGTAGCTATATTGAATGATGATCATATGTGTTTACTAGATATTAGTAGTAATTAACTTTTATTTTTAGATAACTTAAAGATTGTATACTTATAAAACAATAAATATTCATCTCAACTATATCACATAAAACATATATATTCATAATTTTTTTCGAACTACTCACAAACAAATTAAATCAATAATATACATAGTTTTATCTATCTCGCATACTCATATAATTCAAGACATATTTATCTCTTCTCATTTTTATTTTATTTGTTGTTGTATTGTGCTTGCATTCTTTATGTAATATGTTTGATTCCTCTAAGTATTACGAAGTATATCAATTTTAAATCAAGTGAGAATTTTTTGGTAAAAAACCGAAAAAACCGAAACCAAACCGAAACAAACCGAACCAATCAAACTGCGGTTCCAAATTTTGGAGTGTAAAACCGAGCCGAAACCGAACCGAATCCGAACCTAATTTTTTACTTTGATTCTATATTTGGTTTTATGGCAAAATCGAACCGCAAGAACCGAACCCACCCCTATAACGAGTGAACAATTTTGTTAAAAAATGATGACACCCCATCTCTTAGGGCCCCTCAGAACCGACTAGACAGTTAACTAAGAGGAAGTAAATTGGACTTTAATCAGAGATTGATAGCGAATGAGAAATACTTGTAGAGGCTCTTTGCATTTTTACATAGTAACCTCATCGCACTTGCTGGGATTCGAACCCGAGACTTACCCTTGTAGCATCCCTATCTAGGCCGAGAGTTTCTTGTACATTATAATTTCTCAATACACCTCATAAAAAACTGGAAATATAATTTACTCCATAATATCTCCCTTCATCTGTCTATCAATAGAAATTGTGGAGTTAATTTATCTAGAAAAAAAATTATTTAACCACACAATTTCCATAAATGAAAAAAATGGTAATACTATTACTTAAGAGACATGAAAATATTTGTTTTCATTTCTAGATATGTATGTGGGTAATAAAATATGTTTGCATTTAAAAATATTATTAACAATTACGGTATCAAAAATTTTCACAATAAAATGTTAGTTATATGAAAGTAAGAATATCTTCGAATTTTTGAATAGTTAATATATTTTAATAAATATTGATATTTATTACAGATACTATAAGAAAAGTGAAAGTGCAGAGCAAAAAATGTTATTTATTACCGTAAAATTAATATCTGACTCAACTTAATTTAATTCTATGATTGTAGTTTATGTGGGTCCAAATGAATTCTATTTTTTGTTTCTAATTACTCAATTATTATATTTATATTTATTACATTTTAATATGTTATTTATAGATAGTAATTAATAATTATATATTTAAATAATCTTTAATTATTAATTATGAAGTTATTAAATGCTTCAATAATTAAGAAACATTTTTGGGATTAAGACAAAAAGATTATTAAGATATTTACATTCATCATCGCCAGTTATTACATTCATCTCCGGCCAATGCCGGCAACCACAATCGCCAGCACCACACCCTTTTCCCTGCGTCACCCAACCGCCTCCCAGCCCCAAGCCCCCTCCCAAACACCCCAGCTCCTCGTCCCATCATCCTGGCTCCAGTCTCATCTTCCCAGTCCCAGTTACCCAAATCCTAGCTTGTAGTCTTGTACTATACCAACGCCACATGAATGTCGCAGATGTGGAATAGCCTCCGCGTGAGCAATGATGGACAAAAAGAGGACAAAGAAGTCCGGCAGGGCAACGTCGAGGGCCAGGGTGAAAACGACAGCGAAGATCTGCTTCTGCTCTCTTATCGGCATGAGCATGGTTTTAAATTGCGGTTGCGGTCGCGGTTGCGGTTGCGATTGCGGTTGCGGCTAATGCGGCCGCTGCGATGCGTATTGCGGCCGCTGCAGTGTGAATTATTTTCAAGTTCGCACCAGAAAGATGATGGACAGACGGAGGCGTTGCGGTCTGTTGCGGTCTGTTGCGGCATATCACGGTCGATTGCGGCCTGTTGCGTGATGTTGCGGCGCCGTCGCGGTTATGTTGCGGTTTCGTCGCGGTTACGTTGCGGTTTTGGCCGTGATTCCAAATCATAAGGGTGTTGCGGGCTGATGCGGTTGCGGTGCCCTCGGCAACCGCAATATTGCGGCCGCAATTGCGGTTGCGGTCCGCAATTTGAAACCATGGGCATGACCGCATGAGGCAAGGGCGACGAAGACGGGGATGACCAGGGTAGTCGATGTGGCAACGATCTGCGGCGATCGCGATGCCCTTGTATGGTCGATGCGTCTGTCAAAGCAAAGAGATCAGAAGCTGAGTTCTGGGCATCGAATTCGAAGTCGAAATGGGAGGGATAGGTTAGGGAGAAGCTGAATTGAGCGTACCGAATTCTAAATCGGAAGGATGGGTTATTAGGCAGTTAGGGTTCCAGGGACATTAAAGTCAATTGAAGCAATTTTCAGTTAGTTTTTAAGAAACCGGACCGGGAAGCGACACGGCCATGTGACCGGTTCACGGGTCAACCCAGACTCGGTCGAGTCAACCCGGTCAACGCCATAAAATCGGTCAACCATATAATAATAATAAACATACTCTCTCCGTCCGCTTTTAAATGTCCCGTTTTACCATATTGGGATGTCCCTATTTAATTGTCCCATACCTTATTTGGTAAACTTTGTGTGGCTCAAAATCATTCTTACTTTATTCTTACTTTATCAATTAATATCAACCACACAAACTCACTTTTCTTAAAACTCGTGCCACCATCTCCCGTCCCATTTAAAAGGGGACGGAGGGAGTATAATTTTATATAAAATTAAAACAAAAGGTATCGTAGTTATTTCATAATAATCAACTAATGGTAATATTTACTAAGCATTTAAAAGTTAAAACAGTCTCATAATATTCCAAAATACCATTTTGATCTTATTAAAGTATATAATGATACTCCATATTTGTTATTTGTATTGTACATTTATTATATAATTTGACATGATATTTATTCTTCAACAAATAAGTAGTATATAAATATATTGCATATTTTTTTCTTTTTAGGGTATTGAAATTGGAATTTTATTGGTTAAAAATGATTTAAAATTTTAAAAAATTACTTTTTAGGAAAAATCAATCAAAACTCGGTTTTTTGAGTTTGTTGGGTTTCTGGGTCCGGGTTTGGACCGTATTTTTCTGGGTTGGCCGGGGTTTTCCGTTTTTTGACAACTTCCGAGTTTTTAACTAACCGAACCGGGTTTTGGTTCAGGTCACCGGGTGCCGGTCGACCCGGCAGGTCCGGGTCGGTTTTTTAAACATGGAGTTTTTTGTCCAAACGGAATTGAGCCTTATTTTTGTCCTTTCATAAGTTGGGAGTCTAATTTTTGTCCTTCAACATTTTTTCACTTATTTTGACTCCAAATAGATTTCTATTTGGTTCTCCACCATACTCTATCTATATATATAAAGATGCCTAGAAACTTTTGGAAAACTTGAGTATCATACGAATTTAAGCGGATATCTTTTTCAAAAATGCATATGTTAACGTGCACACGCCATTTCATTAGAGCTAGTACGGCTGGGTCCGAAAAATCGAAAACCGAAAACCGAATCATATTAAACCGAACTGCAACCAAATAAAACCGAACCGCTAAAAAACCGAAACCGAATGTAAAAAACCGAACCGAACCGAAGTTGTTCGGTTCGGTTTTGGTTTTTACCCTTCAAAACCGAACCGAATCAAACAAACCGAACTATTGAAAATATGAAATTTATATGTTAATTGTTAAGCATTAATTCTAATTAATCTTAATATCATCAATAGTTTTGGTTTTCTTGTGTTAGAGAAATAATGTTTGCATTTACACATTCATTGTCTGTAATAATAGCTATATTGAATGATGATCATATGTATTTACTAGTTATTAGTAGTAATTAACTTTTATTTTTAGATAACTTAAAGATCTTATATTGATAAAACAATAAATATTAATCTCAACTATATCACATAGAACACATATATTCATGAAAAAAATTCAAACTACTCACAAACAAATTAAATCAATAATATATACAGTTTTATCTAGCTCGCATACTCATATAATTCAAGACATATTTATCTCTTCTCATTTTTATTTTATTTGTCGTTGTATTGTGCTTGAATTCTTTATGTAATATGTTTGATCCCTCTAAGTATTATATCAATTTTAAATCAAGTGAAAAACTTTTGGTAAAAAAACCGAAAAAATCGAAACCGAACCGAAACAAACCGAACCAATCAAACCGTGGTTCCAAGTTTTGGAGTGTAAAACCGAACCGAAACCGAACCGAACTTTTTACTTTGATTCTACATTTGGTTTTAGGTCAAAACCGAACCGCAAGAACCGAACCCACCCCTAAGAGCTTGTATTCGTGCACCCCGTGCTATGGGGGTAATGGGGCGGTATATCGATTTGGTTAGCCGAATCCCTATGTTCCATATCAAAGTGAATTAAATAGAACTTGAATCAAATCGCAATTCAATTTGAATTTGATATCTTCCAAAATGTATTAAACAGATCAATACCGAAAGAAACCCCAAAGAAAGCAAACTCAATTAAAAAGGTTCAATAAAATCTCCTATATTATTAAAAAAACACAAAATTAAACCAAACCGACGAACCAAAACCTAGCATGGTTTCTTTCTTACAAATATATACTAGCGTCTTTTACGCGCAATGCGCGAGAGTCAATGCCCAACAATACAAATCACCTTTAACAATGGTCAATTGTAATATATTCTAGAACAACAACATTTCCTAATAAACTCTCAAATTTAACATATCTTGAAGCATGTGTCAGTCAATCAAAACATGTTGATATTTCAATCGACTATTAATTGTTATGATATATATGTTGTTAGTCAGTACATATAATAAACATCATCAATTGACATTGTTCTTTGAACTAAATATTAAGATTGTAGATAAATTCATATGTACCCTGAGTTTATAACAAAATAGCTAAATTGGCGCGATATAATAACGAAGTTGAGGCTTAATTTAAGAGCTATTATAATTTGTACATGTCGCTTCTTCTGAGTCTTCTTTTAATTTGTTGTGACAATTTATTTATCTACTATATTTTTTAGAATATTAGTATTATCAATCAAGATGACAAATTTAGGTTTTTAATGTTTTTTTCGAGTTTCACTTTGAATGATATATGAATCTTTTTTTGTACTTCAATAGATTTTTTTTTGTGTTTTTGTCAATTAACGTGGTCAATAATTATTTGAAAATAAATTTGGGACATATGCAGTAATGAAATACGTAGTATATTTTAACATAATCTCTTCATAATTCAGTAGTTTCGGGCAATTTAATTTGTAATTAATATAACTCCTATAAAGGTTAGAAGTTAGAACCAACAATATTTATGTATATAATCTTTAACATTAGTTTATTTTATCAGTTTAACCATTTCAAGCAAACCTTTAAGAGGTTAAATAATCACTTTTTAAAAAATCTAAATCATTTTAAAAGTATTCTTTATTTTTCAATGTGCATATCAGTTTGTAAATAATGATTCTTCATATATACGAGTGGTTAAATACACATTTTCAGTCTTTATAAACCTACAGTATGGGCATTATTCTCAAAAAGGAAAAAACGTACGGAATATGATTATACTCCCTCCGTCCCAAAATTATCTTCATAGTTACTATTCACATGGTCAACTCAAATTACTCTTAATCTTTTACTTTATATATCAAATTTTTATCAAATTCAAATTTTCTTAATCAGGCTTTGTAGCGGTTTTAATGTAGTTTCTGAATATGTAAATTTTATTTACTAAAAATAATTCGAGTGTGAACAGGGATCAAGTTGCTTTATCGTCAGTCAAACATCGTAAACCGAACTATGAAGATAATTCTGGGACGGAGGTAGTATCTTTCTGCAGCCGACTATGGAGTATGGACTATGGAGTACCTTTTATTGAAGCAGCCGTCAATAACTGGTAACGACGGTAGGACATTTTTGTCCATCAAGATTAGGGTATAATATTTTAATAGCAAAGTACAAGCTCTCATGCACCAAAAGTATTGACACAATTCAAGGATACTAACCAGCACTCACAATTATATGGATTTTAGAAGATTTTAGATATCTTTCAATCCGTTTCAAATGGAATTGCACCAAAAATTGATAAAAACCCAATGAAACCCATATGTAGGGGCGAAACTAGGGGAGCGAGTTATAGTGCTCCGCACTATACACGCACAAGTTGCTCAATGAGGGCATTTGTGTTGAGTACTGTACTTGAGGATTTAGGTTCAACTATTTTAATACTGTATGGTTTCAGGGCAATGATCGAGGGCACTCCCAGTGGTAGACTTAGTAATCATGTTTTGGGTGTTCAAAATCATACATTTTCTCCTTACCACACTAATAAATAAACTATTTTCAAATTCATGCATATATATTCCTATGGTGTATGTTCTATTTTTGGGTGTTCATGTGAATAGAACACATCCGCCACTGCCGCCCCGCACTCCCGACTTGGCGGAGCGATCCCACCTTGTGAATAAAGTAAACTCTGAATAGTTCTAAAAAAAATCAAATTTTGAGCAAATTCATGAATATTAATTAGTGCATACCTTAGAGTGAGAAGAGGGATATGATATGCTTTATCGATCAGAGCCTCGAGGGGAAGCAATGTGAGGTTCTGAGAAACAGACCACAAAGACTTGAGATAGAAATGGATGGCAAATACACAGATCCGTACAGTTGGTTGGCTGAGCTAGCCTTAAGAGCAAAAGTGATCTCTCGTTTTCTGACAAAACATGCACCGCTTCCGGAGGTCCCAGAATGACAGTTTTGCTGCCCAGGAATTAATCTCTTCGCTTCTTGTGATGTGTGCTGCCAATAGTTGTATCTCAGTCCAGTTATGTTTAATTTGGCCGTTGGGACAGGTAATGTGACTCCATTGTTGAAGAAAAAAGTAGCTTCTGTGGATGATATTGAAAAGAGAAGTCAACTGAGTCACCAACGCGACTTATGGAGTGTTTGCAACTGCTTCTGCTTCAAAAAAGCACTTTTCGAGATGTAAGGAAAAAGTGATTGGTAGTAAAAGTTGATAGTGTATGAAAAAAGTGATTTTGAAAAGTAAAAGTTGCTAGTGTTTGGTAAAATAAATGCTTTTTGTGTAATAGAAAAAGGGAAAAACATTTTTCACACGCGAGCCGAGAAAAAGTAAAAATTGATAGTGTTTGATAAATAAGTACTTTTTTAATCCAAAAGATGAGAAGTGTTTTTTTTAACCTGTTGCAAACACTCCCTTACAACCTCCAAAAGTCTTGTCAGGGCGTGGGTGGCCTTGGGCTTGGGGATTCAACATTCAGAAACAATTGAAAACAAAAGTAACTTAAGCGGTATCCCCAACTACAAGAGATCATGGATTTTGAAATCGATGGGAGCTACAAGATTATGGTACAATTTTTTTATATGTAGAAATCCACAAAAATTCATTAAAATCCATCTAAATACTCCTAATATTCCCTCCGTCCTGAAAAGTTTGGCCAAATTTCCTTTTTTGAATGTCCCAAAAAGATTTGTCATTTTCATTTAAAGTAATGAATATGTGACTACAGTTAATTCTCTCTCCTTTGCACAAATTTCAATTCAATCACACTGTTTTTATTTTATTAATCCACGTGAAAGTCAACTTTGGCCAACCTTTTCGGGACGGAAGGAGTAATAGAAATCATGGAATGTTTGAGAACACCCTGATTTTCATAGATTCCATAAAAATCCAAATTGGGAACAACTAAATTCTGACGGAATTCTAAACTCTATTAAAATCCATACTGGGGACACCCCTTAGGTAATATGAAACACACACTAATGTACTTACTAGTTACTACTCATGAAACATATTAACAAAATTAATCCCCAGGTAATAACAATTAAAAATTTCAAAAGAGAAGTATTATATTTTTATTTCTTAAACATCAGTAATTTATGCCAAGCACCCTGTGCTTTAATGACATCAGCGTAACACTCATCCCAGTTGAAGATGTTAGCATTTAATACAACAAAGACTATAATATGTAAGAAGCTACGCACAAAAACATGAATAATTTTGCGAACTTTCATCATGATAAAAAGCGGACGTCTTTCTATAGCATGCGGGTTTTTCGATCTCATCCGCCGAGTTTTTGTTGGTGCGGCGTTTTTTCTCCAAGCTTTTGAGTTTTTGTTTAGATTGTTGACTCTATCAATACGGAGTAGTTAATACTTGCCGAGTTTTTGTTGGTTACGGCCGTCTCACTGGATTACCACAAGAACTCGAAGTAGGGACGAGTTCGATTCACGATTTCATGTCGGGTGGGCTGAAAAACATAATTGATAATACATTAAAATTTTTCAAAATAAAAATATAAAAGTTATATCCCCTAAATTTGTTCTCGACGAGGCTTTGAAACAAAAAATTCGTCAACAATAGAGTCTATATCTATACTAATAGTAATGTCTTTTTCAATATAAAGTGTCACACAATCAGTAAGAATGTCATCATTTATTGTATTTCTACTGTTGCAGTAGAAACAATAAAATCAATACAAAGCGAATCAATCTGCTCATCATAACATATGAATCAGATCTTGAGCTCTTAGTCAACTCCTCACATAATTTAACAAGTGTAGATACTTGAAACTTTGTATCATGAATCGCATCATGAACATAGTGTTGCAGCTTGAATTTCATAGCACGAATGTCCTGACTACTAAAATCTCTGGGAAAGAACTTCCTTGCAAGAGTACAAATAGCATCGGCATTGAACAACTCATATGACTTTTTTGGATCCAATGTGGCACTCAAAGAAAGGAGTTCCTCTTATTTATCATTAAAGTGGGTCCTTAACTCCATAAATAAATTAAAGTATATTACCTCATTGAAAACATCAAAGTGACAATGATGCTCAACTGTAGTTTCTTTTCAGCAACGACCAACCATATATTTAGAAATTAGAATTCAAGTCTAGTGCATGATATTCATTTTTTGAGCAAAACTCATCATTTACTTCTTTAAGAAAACCTTCTCATCCATTTTCTTTTAATTCCTTAAGAATGAGTTGTGTAGTAAAAAGAATATGTTTCATGGCTACCAAGATATCCAATAATTTTTTGAAGGCCTTGAGAGAGGGGAGAATAGTCGTTATTCCCATAACTTTGTTCTGCCCAAGAACTCACTTTTGGGCAATTAATATTCTTGAAGATACTCAAGAACTTTACAAGTTGATGTGAACATGCTAATCAAGCTCTTAATTGAATCATATTTTATTGCATTTATTAGATTGATGCCTTATGGGCTTTATGCCTTATGCTAATCAACGATAGTATATAGTAGTACTAAGTGCCACTTATTAAGTGAGAGGTGATGTCTATAACATTTAGATTAGATTTTTAGTTGGTAAGATTTTGTTTTATGGGTTGGGCTGAAAAATTGGGGTAGGCTGGATGGCATTTTGTCAAAATAATACCTTAAAAAATAATATATTTTACTTTGCCCTGGCTTCAGCCCACCATCTCCCTAGATCCTTTAATTTACTGTTTTCTGCTTCTCGGCTTGTGCGAGTTTTACTGGAGGCGCGTGAGGGTGCGCCTACGGGCTTTTTGCAATGAAAATTAAGTCAAACAAGGTCACAATTGAATTTTGGGCTGGAGGGTTTTCGATGGTAAATTTAGAGGAGCAATATGCCAAGATGATGCTGGAAGAATTCAACAATCGGAAATAGAGGGCATGAAATTACGGGTACTTCGGTACGATGCTACGAGGACAAATCGGAGTTTTAGAAGTACACAGATTTATGTAGCACATATACTTGACCACGGTGCCATATCGGCGTATCGGTAGTGTTCTCATATCAGATATTTTAAGACATTTGAATCGTACGTTCCCGGATTGTATCTGCAATTTATCAAAAGTTTTCAACTTCTTTGGTAATTCTTTTAAAAATTCGGATACATGTATCCTCACGGATATATGTATCAACTTTTTAATAAAGAAACGCCCAAAAATCAAATAATAAAAGTATTAAAAAATATTTATTAGAACTTTTAGTTTTTTATTAGAGTATTGTTTTAAGTCTTCTTTAAGAGACATTTATTCAAGAAATTTGAATACTTGAACTTTTAATTTCAAAAATGTGATTGTTTGATTTCTTTCTCATTTCAAATTAGTGAATTATTAAAAATCTTCAATGTGAAATGTATCAATGCCATGAATTGAAAGAGAATATATTTACATATCTTTTAAAAAATTGTAATTTTTAATATTTAAAAACACGCTCCCATATTTTTTTTATTTATAAATACACTCTCATAACTTTGACGGAGTAATATTTATAAATATACCTCAATGTTGAGGTTTATTCCTCGCAGTCAAAGGGTCCAACACGTTCTCTTGACCTTTCGTTGGATCTTAACTAGATTATTTCTTTTAGTGGCGGGTTAAGTGAATATGAACGCAAAGCAACAACAAAATATAGTAGGAGGTAAAGCGGGTCAAGCTTTATTGATGGATAGAACAATTACAGCACACCCTTACGAGTCTGAGCTCCAACCCTCTATTCTACACTGATAGAATACAGAAGAGCTAGAGAGAGTAGCTAAGCTATTAAATACAAGTTGTCAACCATTTACAATGAAATAAATGCTACTACATTTTTCACGTAGAAAGGTTGCCACACGGTTTACGATGTCTGACAGACCATAAAGTTATCTGATCGCTCTCCGTGATTAGATTTTTTTCGTAAATAAAATTTACATATTCATAAACTACATTAAAAGTTTCATAAAGTCGCAAACAAGAAACTCAAATTTGATAAAAGATGGATATATATAAAGTAAAATATTAAGAAGCTAAGCTAATACGTTGCATTGGCCGGAAAGTAGTGAATGAGAACCTTTGAATATGATGGAGGTAGTAGTATTTTTACTACAAGGTGGTAGATGGTGGTGGTGACGTGGCAACCCCTGGATGGCTTTCTCCCAACGATAAAATCTTTCATATCTTGTGCATTAAATGTGTTTTCCTTCATATCTGGTGATTATCCAAGGAACCGGTGTCGTCACTAGTGAATCTGAAATGAATGAGGAAGACAAGGATAAAAGAGATAATAGAGCTAGGACCAAAAATTGGATTCGATTATTCTGCTCTAAATGAAAGTTATGCGACTAGGGAATAGAGCTAGGACCTAATATCACTCCTAACTCCTCTAATTTGTGTATAATTGGATCTTCCTCTCACTATCCACCCCGGCTATTCTCCCCACCTCTCAACTCATTAATGACAATCGTTTCTATATTTGATCGATGAGTATAAAAGATGTTTAAGTTACTTAGTCATTTGGACCTACTAATTAATTTTTAGGGAAATTTCTCGAAATATGAGTAAATATAATGTTAACTTTCAAAATTGAATCACTGTTTTTTTTATATACCTAAATTGGTACATCACTGTCATCCTCAAACTATAAGATCATCTTTTGGCATTATAGGACATTAATATGACAGTATTAATGACACGATTAACCATATTTTTAAAGCATGACAGTAATTGTAACACCGTCCCCAATTATATTTACTCTTAAGTAAATAATGTATTGTAAATTTTATTATTTCTTTCGAGTGAATAGTAAATTGCACGTGGGGCCCACACCGGGAGCGGGGGCCGCCCGATATTCTTGAGACCATATATGTTATTCATCTTGGTCGAGATAATATTTATATAGTGGTGGATAATTTATTTGGGCCAAAGCAAACACATAATGTGGATCGATTGGTCAAAAGTGGCTCAATTACCGATTTTGCTAATTTCACAAATAACAGCCCGAAATGAATTTCGGAGGCTTATAAATTAAAGTTGGGGAATGTATATTCATTATAAGGGTCGTAATTATTGAGAACACGTAATATATTTTATTTGACCCGATAAAATAAAATATATTTAAAATAGTTCGAAAAATACAACTTTCTGGACCGATGGTACACTTTGGGACAAAATGGGATGACCTCCCACATGGGTGGGGGCCACCCCACGAATTTGTCAACCAAGGAGGGCTGATTGGCTTCCAAAGTTGGCTGAAAGGGGTGAAGGGATGGGGGAACACCTATGACATCCAAAGGGGCCCTTTTTTTCCACTCATTGCCCAAAATAAGACAAAGGGAGCACCTCCACCCATCCTATCCTCATTATCTCGTCCAAGACCAAAGGGAAGAGAAGAAAAACTCTGCAAAAGTCCATCTCCATAGACAAGAACCGAGCTCATACTTAAGAGGCCCAAAAGGAAGGCTTAAACAAGAAAAAAGTGAGGAAAGACTTGAATAATTAAAGTAATGACCTTATCATAACTTTTCCTTCATTTTTCCTTCTACCATATGAGATATATATCATATGAAGAACCTTTAGGATTTTTATACATGATTTAAGTGTAGAATAATGGGTTGGAAAGTGATTTTTAGTCCAAGAACGGACTTGGAAGCCAAAACGACCGGTTCGCCGGAAAATAACCTTTTAAAGGTTATTTGTATTAATATGGGTTTTATGATTATAAAACCTTGTTAGGAACTTGTATAAGGTATTTCAAGAGCTTTCACGGTGTTGAAAGAGTCGCCGGAGTTCGTCAAAAGTCGACGGAGTTTCACCAGAGTTCAACCGAGGGGTAGAACTTCATAGCGCTAATTCGAGGTGAGGATGACCGACTATATTGCTTATAATTATTGGGTTAATTTCATAAGATTTCCTAAGTAAATTAAATGTGATTTGCATGGATTATTAATGATTAATAATGTCTAAATGAAATTACTATTGTTTGTAAATAGAGAATGCATAATATACAAATTATGAATAAATTGTGTATGATTATGTGTTATAAATATGATGGCATGATGGTTGTTTTAACCATAAATCTTATTGTGATTAATGTACTTTTACTTCATGTAAAGAAGTCATGAAAGGATAAAAGTGACATTTTGATATTAAAGTCAAATTATACTTGGATGAGGAATTAAATTGAAATGAACAAATGACTATGAATTAAGAATTTGGTTGTACTAAGGTCAAATGACTAGTATTGAAATACTAGTCGGAAGGATAGTTCGAATAATCGTTAGAACTAATCCTAAGATATTAAATTTGTGGTGAGTACGCCCTAAGTGACCTTAAGGGGATAATTTAAAGATGGACTTTATGAGCTCCAAGTAACATTAGGAGTAGGCCTTAAGTGTTACTCAAAATGAATGGAGTCTAGATTAAAAAATTGTTTAGAGAATAGATAACATGACTATGAGCTGAGCTCTAGCACGTGGTAGTATGACTATGAGCCGAGCTCTAGCAAAATGTAGTATGACTATGAGCCGAGCTTTAGCACAATGTAGTATGACTATGAGCCGAGTTCTAGCAAAATGTAGTATGACTATGAGCTGAGCTCTAGCAAAATGTAGTATGACTATGAGCCGAGCTCTAGCAAAATGTAGTATGACTATGAGCCGAGCTCTAGCAAAATGTAGTATGACTATGATCTGAGCCGAGCTCCAACAAAATGTAGTATGACTATGAGCCGAGCTCTAGCATGAAAGAACGTGGGTTAACTATAATATAATAACACCATAGATTGAGGGTCTTGGAAATTGAAACATTGATTATACTTAGTATAGTTGTCATTGTACTTTTCAAATGCTTCAAAGTACTGACCTCCCCTTCACGGGGAGGCCACCTCACAGTTTCAGGTAGAACTTGAAGGTTGCTACCACCGCACGTTGCTTCGGGAAGATCTAGAGGAGAAGACTTGATTCGTGCTTCTTCCGTTCCTATTTTAAAAATAATATGAATAATGCTCATAGATATTATTTTCTGAATAATTATTTGGGGGGCTTGTACGCCTATGTTTGCCAAGTGTGGCTAAACACTTGTATTAAATGTTTTCGTTGCTTTAAATGAATATTTTACATTATGTTTGTTTATAGATGTACTATGTTTGAATATATTTCAGACGCCTTGTATAGTATGGATATGTTAGAGTGTTAGACTGCGGTTGACTCTTCGTACTGTACAACGGATTGTTGACGTGTCCGGATAGGTCCGGGGCATGACATTAATTACTTCTATTCCTGAGAAAATATAGGACTCATTCTTTAGTTTCACATTATTTCTACTACTAGCTAAAGTGAAATTGTTTGTATATAAGAAGAGCAAGAACAACCATAACAACAATTACGATAATAATACTTGATCCATTTCAAAATGATTTGCAAAGTCAAATTTTCTTGGTTAACATATAGTTTGGTTTTATTTACGATATTAAAATTCTATTCAAGTGAAACACATACTCCAACACGTCATAATGATGAATTCAAAGCAACATTTTTTCTTTATAGAGCTTTTAGTGTAATTTCTAAATATGTAAATTGAAATTAATTATTAAAATTAATTCAACAGTTTGCGGAGAGGAATTGACTTTATTGTTTGAATTTTGGACTATGTTTGGCAGACATAAGTCTCTGCCTTCTAGCTTATGTATTGTACAAAAAGTCTCTAAAAGCTTCTAGTTATATGTTTGGCATGACAATTTTTAAGAGCTTTTCAAAAATTAAAAGATCTTTTTTTATATTCTACAGGGAGTAGCATCTGAAAAAAGCCTGTAAATTTTAGTATTAATTAGCCATAACAGCTTGTATACCAAACCGAACTAAATCAAAGTTATCAAACAGTCACCTTTTTACCAAACAGCTACCACCATTTTTAAAAAAAAAAATCTTTTCAGTCACAAAAAACTAACAATTATTAAAAAGGTCACAAAAGTATTTTTTTAGCTAGTTGCACCAAATATACCCTTAAACTGCAAATTGCAAATCAATTTTAAGTGACGAAAGTAATATACATTGCTATATTAGTTTTTTTATAAAATGAATTGTGTATTAAAATTTAATATGGGATATGAATTTCCCCACTCCTTAAAATAAGTAACGTTTGACTTTAATTCCCAAAAATGGATTTCTCCCCACACACACAAAAAGAATAACGTTTGAATTTAATTCTCATTCCCATGCAGTACAGGTGTGGCATTATAAAATTATGCTTCTTCCCTAACCGTCATAAGTAATACGGAGTATAAAAACACGAATTCCATAAGAAAAAATTTCGAATAAAATGAAGACTCAAAACTCATTTTGGGTCTTTATTTCTTTGCTTCTTCTTATCCCCACAGCATGCAACGCCACAGCCAATATATTCGATTTCCAACAATGTATGATATATAATTCCCAGAACGATTCCTCTGTTTCCGGCGACATCTACACCGCAAATAGCAGCTCCTTCGCCTCCATCCTAGGATCACGTATCCAGAACAGCCGGTTCAACACCTCGGACACTCCGAAACCTCTCATCCTAGTCACTCCCCGCGAAGAGTCTCACGTGCAGGCGGTGATTCGTTGTGCGAAAGACCAAGCATTGCAGGTTCGGGTGCGGGGAAACGGCCACGATTACGAAGGCCTTTCTCACACGAGCTACTTCGGGAACCAGTTCTTGATGCTTGATCTGGTCAACTTCAAGAACATCACGGTGGATCCCGTGGAGAAGACGGCGTGGGTGGGCGGGGGTTCCACAATCGGGGAACTGTATTATAGGATTTCGGAGAAAAGCGGGACTCTTGGTTTTCCGGCGGGCGTTTGTCCCTCGGTCGGTGTTGGCGGTCATTTCAGCGGCGGCGGATATGGTACGATGTTGAGGAAATACGGTCTGGCGACGGATCACGTGATAGACGCGCGTTTGGTCGACGCGAATGGGAGAATCCTTGACCGAGGGTCAATGGGGGAGGATGTATTTTGGGCTATTAGAGGAGGGGGAGGGAACACTTTTGGTGTAATTCTTGCATGGAAAGTAAGCTTAGTTGACGTGCCACAAAATGTGACTGTTTTCAACGTTATGAAAGCGGTTGACCCAAACGTGACAAATCTTGTGTACAAATGGCAAACAATTGCTCCTACTTTACCTAAAGAGCTATTCATTAGAGTGATTGCAAATGGATTAATGAGTAAAGAAAAGACATTTATCATTTTCAACTCATTGTTCCTCGGACCAATGGAAGAATTGCTTCCAATTTTGGACCAAAGGTTTCCCGAGTTAGGGGTAACTCGGGAAAACCTGACCGAGTTAAGCTGGGTTGAATCGGTCTTATATATTTACGGGTTCCCGAATTCACCCCTTACTGATTTGTTAAATGTTACCTCTAACCAAGGAAAACCGAATTACTTTAAAGCCAAATCTGACTTTGTGAAGAAGCCAATCCCTTTGGAAGGATGGGAAGGGGTTTGGGATTTATTGCGTCAAAATTATTCTGGTTTGATTATATTAACTCCATACGGCGGAGTAATGGAGGAGATTCCGGAATCTTCGACTCCTTTCCCTCATAGAGCTGGAAATTTGTACAAAATCCAACATTGGGTGAGTTGGGTTCAAGATGGTAGTGAGGCCTTTGAGAACCACATTGGATGGATAAGAAGGTTTTATGATTACTTTGCTCCATTTGTTTCTACATCTCCCAGAGAAGCATTTGTAAACTATAGAGATCTTGATATTGGACAAAACTATAATCTTAACTGTTCCAGGTATGATGATGCTAAGGTTTGGGGGAGCAAATATTTCAAGAATAATTTTGATAGGTTAGTTCGGGTTAAAACCATGATTGATCCCCAAAACTTTTTTAGGAATGAGCAGAGTATTCCTCCCCTTACATGTTAATTAATACAATATCGATCTCTTAATTCGAAACATATTACGGAATATTTTTATTTTTAATTACATTTAACTATATATAGACTACCAAAAACATTGATGTTTTCATTTTCATAATGGGCTAGTTTGGCAATTAGCGGTTAGCGGATAATGTTAGCGGGTTCTAAACAGCGGATTGATCGGCGGATTAATATGGCGGGTTATAAAAAGATGCATGTTTGTTAATTTGGCTGTTTGCTTTTAGCGATTAATGGATAAAAAGGCAAAAAGAGACATCTATATATTTTAATATTTGTTTCTTTGTTGTTTGGATAATTACGGGTTTGGATTCCCTCAAAAAAAAATTACAGGTTTGGATGTAACTTTTTGTATATTAAAATCACGGGCTTGTCTTTATTTAAACATATTTCACTCCTTCAATGTTATTATTATTACTAATATTACTAATATTACTAATATTATTATTATTACTAATATTATTATTATTACTATTATTATTATTATTATTTTAACCAAGTATATTTGATTTGATATGTATGTATTAATGTATCAATGTATGCAATACTACTCCCGATGATATATACTACGTACATAAGTATGTATCGTATAACAATAAAAAGGTGCAGGACTCACCAATATAAAAAGTTGAAACACACTTATGTTATAATTAATTCTATTGGCCTACCAATTGTGAGACGTGTTCTTACGCGATCAAGGGCTAAATGGAATATTAATACATAGTATATTTTTCTGAACCGCTGAGTTCAAACGCTGCTCCTTGCAGCATGTTAGCATTGGTTTTTTTGAGCAAAAACGGTAATCCATTCCGCTCTACCAAACGATCAAATCCATTGTTTGGATCAAAGTCAAAACTCCAATGATAGTTGAAACGCTGAAATTTGGCGGATCCGCTATTATCCAGACAAACCCAATGCCATATTGCCATTCTTTATAAGTTGTTATAAATATTGTTATAAAAACTTTAGTTGTTGGTGCTTATATTAGAAAGAAAAAATACATTTATTCTCATTATTATGAGGCCATACTTATTTTTATGATTGTATCCATGGCTTTCATTTTGTCCATGGCAACACATATCGAATCTAGAATTCGTCTGTTCTAGTGGATTATACTTTGCCTAAATATTTAAATGATGTTTCAAAAACTACGAGCTGACATAAGAGAATATCATACTTTTTTTTAGCGTAAAAGAATATCACACTACCATAAGATTTATCCAAATTTCAGCTTAAAACTATACGTTGCTCGAATATCACTCACGTATGTAGAAGATATCATAACCGTTGAGTTAAAACCAATCAATGAACTTGGCTTGCACAAATTGTAACTACTTAACTCAAGCACTTAATTCTTTACACACTCAAACTTAATCAGAAAGTAGTGAAATTATATGAATTTCTGAAAACTAATTGAGCTCATTTTAGATAAACCGATTCAAGTAATTGAAACGTGTGAATAATTTAGGGATCGAATTGAATACCGAACAGGTGGTGGCTTTAGCTAGGTATACCGATCGGATTGTCTTATTTTGACTTTATTCTTGTAAGGGTTGTCGCTTTCCGGCTCAGATTTCTTCCTCGGATCCCATATCAACGGCTCAACACTGTCAAATTAGAGGTGGACATATCGGTTTGGTTTAATCAAATCAAATCGTACCAAATCGAACTAAATTGAATCAAAACCGGACCATATGCAATTTGATTTGAGTTTGATACGATTTCTTCCAAACTGTATTAAACCAAACCGAATCGAAACCGATAAAAAAGAACAAAACCAAACCGAACTAAAAAAATTCAAAAAAACTTTCATATATTATTAAAAAATAACAAATCCAAAACAAATCAAACTAAACAGAACCGAACCAAACCAAAAAATAGTATTGTTTTTGTTTGTAATAATTCTTCCAACCTATTCCGAACCGAACCGAAACCGATAAAAACCAAACCGAAAATCGATATGTCCCTCCCTATGTCAAATAGTGACACTTGTTAGATTCCCTCCTTAATTAAGAAGTTCATGAGAATTCTAGAATATTGCGGAAATGTCTAGAATTCTCTAGATGTATGTAGAAACGTATTGAAAGTTTTAAAATATTTTGGAGCTTTCTGGAGAGACGCGGAATCATCCAGAAGCGTATGGAAGGGTGTAGAATATTTTAGAACATTGTGGAGTTTTCTAGAGAAGTGTGGAATTCTCTGGAATTGCGTGGAAGTGTGTGGAAGCCTCTAGAACATTCTCAAGCAGTGTGGAGTTCTCTAGTTCCTTCTAGAAGATTGATACTTCTTATAATAGTCTAGAAGTGTAGTAGTACCATATAGAAAGTTCTAAAGAAGCATTGTTTAGATTTGTATAAATAGGGGTGAGACTCCTCATTTCTAAGGGTGAGCCTAGAGAAAGAGAGCTTTGTGATAGCCACCTCAAGTAATGAGAGAGAGTCTTGAGGAGAGCTCTTAGCTGAGTGAGCGCCTCCTAGAGAGAGGGGTGTGAGGGTGAAGTAGTCTCATCAATACTCGTACTTGCGCCCTATATTATTATCTATTTTAAATGCGAGAAAACACACATCAATACTCATTTGAGTTTAACATAAAATACATTATTTCTAATATGCTCAATCTTAATTTGGGTATGTTAATTCCTTTTAGACGTATACTCATTTAAGTTTAATATAAAACTCATTTAAGATCAATAACAGGGAGGATTGCTCAGCAACGAAGTAGTCTCCCCTTGTCTCCGAAAATACAAGCTCAAACAACAAAACTACACCAACAACTACGCTAGAAAGAAAGAGAGAGGAGAGGTAACAACACTGGCGGAGAAAGGGTGAGTGATGAGCAGTGGCAACGAACCACAAGGTGGAGGAGAGTGGTGAACGTTGGCGATGAGCAGTGTGCCTCGGTGTGAAATCAGATCAAAGAAGTCAAACGAGATTGAAGAGGCCAGGTGCAAAGTCCGGTGCGAAGCCAGATTCGAGAAGTCTGGTGCGAAGCTAGATTGGAGAAATTTGGTGCGAAGCCAAGCGCAAAAGCCCCAAAAAAGTTCGGTTGTACCATGCGCACGATAAAGCCGGTTGTATGATATATTTTACCACCCCAGCCTCCTATCAAACAGATACTAGCAAAAAACGGTTAGCAGCGGTCAACAAAGTAAAAGAAGAATAAGAAGGCCATTGAGACAGGGACCAAGCAGGAACCTGCCCATTAAATGCACTATATAGGTAGACTGGGATTGGGCCTGTTCGCTGTACCAATTCCAGTTCAATTGTCAGGCTATATGGTTCTCTCGATGATGAAGGATGTGGATATACGATAGTATATCAGAACTCCAGACCTACAAGCTGTTTTCTCAAATATATAATGTCTGAACTTGATATTAGCAAAACATTCAACAACAAAATCATCTACTATCAATCAGTCCCTGTGTTCAGTGTTAGTTGTCTCTGTTTCTAAAATACAATATATCAGCAGTGTTTTAATGTGTTGAAAGCTTATCACAACACAAATCAAAATAGGACTCCGTAATTGCCTTAGGTGAGTCTGTATTGTCCACTCCAATTTGTGCTTTTGTATCCTGTTCATATTGGAATTCAACGAAATCTCATGCTGCATAGACAACGAGTTCAACTACTTTAGACCTGAAATAATCAAAAGATTATAATAAGCTCATGAAAATGCAATACATTATTATTAGTTCAATAACAATAGCATGTATCAACTCATTTACAACATCAAAGAAATGACCTAAAATTAACAAAATAAAAACATACTCAAAAGGTGTCACAATGTGAGTTTATCAGTGAACCTATCAGTGAACCGAGCCAGCCAATGACATTTGTGAGCTCACATGTTACAATTTAGTAACTTACAAAGTTACAATGGTTGCATGCAAATTTATTCAAGCCAATCCTCTACTAGAAATCCCAATAGAGATATTCATGCCACAGTTGCCCATAAGTTTATCAAGAAATATTCCAACAGTGCCCAAGCTTTTGACAACGACAAACTGGCACAGTAAAAGAACATGTTTCATCTTGGTGTACAGCCAACATAAAAATATAAGCATATCACTATAATCTTAAAATAAAGAATGTCTGAAGCAAGGCAAACACCTTCAGACAATTAAAAAACACTATTTTTGAATAGTTACCGTACTTACTAACACAGGTTGTGACTTGTGAGCCTGTCATGCTACCCAGCAAGAGCTGCCGCCAATAATCCGACCTTTCCATCCCTGGATTATCCAATTGCCATCTTCCAGAAACAGAAAATCTTTGTCATATCCTTCCCTTGCCTCGTATCTTAACTTCTTCGCAAGTCTAGGGTTTACAGCCATGGGCTTGAACCCAGCCCTCATGATGCGAGATTGCCACTGCTTGCATGTTTCAGTCCTTTGTAACCTTTCCTTTCCCTCACATGCTACAATATTCATTATTTCGCCTCCCATGAATTCTTTTTCCAAATTCAATCTCTGATTATCATGGCGCGGTAAAGTAGCATCAAGCAAATCAAAGATAGCAGTATAGAAGAGGAGAGCCTCTCGAAACCGAGTAACAAAGAAAGGAGAGTTTTGAGGTCCACTGCACACAGTTTGAGCATATATATGAGGATTTACTTCCCTGATTAACTTTAAAACAGCATCCCTAGGACTATCCGCACCAACTGCTGTCTCATCCAATAAGTGATGGAACCGAACTAAACTGTTTACAGCAACTACCTCGCCACTCACAAGCTTCAATTCATCAATCTTAATTCTCTCCCAATTCATTTTTGTTATGGCATTGTACTCAAATGGTACATTAAAATGCTCGCAATATTTTGCCAAGCGGCGACCGGTCTCATCTACCATTTGTGATGGACGAAATCCAGGTTGGGGAAGCTCAATCCCTGTTATTCGAAGTTTTGGAGGGCCACCAGGTCTTTGTGAAAGATCCCGGATAAGTGTTGGCCACTGGATACCATAAAGAATACCAAAATCTATAACGTGCAGTGATGCACCATTTGAAGCTACTTCGTAAATCATTCTGTTTGCAAAGAAAATTGATAATCTCATCCATGGCCAAGATGACATATAGGATTTTAGCATCTCTGCGATTATGGTGTTATTAGGAGTTAAAGCCACATACAATTGCGTCCCAGATCCAGCCAATCGTGCCTCAAGACCATCAGCGAAATAATTAGCCAGCCTTTGGTTTGCATCGCCAGTAGGCGAAGAGTGCTGCCTGATCTTTTGTAATTTATCTTTTGCAGCCCTATAATCAGCATCAGCAACAGATCGTGCGCAGCTGACTAAAAGAGACTCCAGATCCACAAATTCACCACTATCTCTCCCTTTCTTTAAATGTCTCTTGTGACCACTTCGCGTGTTCTGTTGTGTGCCGACTCTAGGTAGACAATCATTATCATCAGAACATAGCAAAACCTTGTCAAACACCTCTGATAACTCAATGTCCTCATACACTGCACAGTGCTTGCTTCTGCTTTCTTCTTCTGACCCACTTTTGTCTGAATGGTAATGCTTCTTTCCATTATACAGATCTGGAGTAACCAAGTAGTTATTCAAATTGATAACCAAGTGTTTATTGGCATGAAGGAATCGATTAGCATCATCTACACCTCTCTTGAATTGCAAGATGGCCTCAGCATCATCATTAAAAAATACTTTACTAACCGAATTAGCACTTAGGAAAGCGTCCATTTGAGAAAACAATTCACTATCAAAGGTATATAAAGAACTGTTTAACCCATCCGAGTTAGCCTGACTTGATGACTTAACGGGGGTATCAGGATGCCTACAGGCTACAGATGATTCAGATTCCCTGGGATCAACAATAGACAGAATGTCAGAGTTATGGAGATCAATACGCTCAACCCCATACCTGGAGCTTCCAGCATTACTGTGAACAGGTGATGAAGGGTTGTCATACAAGGCTTCGTAGAATGAATTCTCAGTAGCACTAAGAGCAATGGGATCAAAAAATATGTTCAGATTGTTCCCATCAATGCTCTCCTCCTCCAATAGAAACTGGCTAAGGTACTTATGCACGGAATCAGTGTCCAGAGTAGGAGAATAAGTACCAAGGTTAGGAAATTGTGTAATTGAAGGCGCATCCTTGTGGACGTCTGCAATATCCAATGGTTGTTGAATTGTAGAAAAAATGACTTCATTCTCCGGGTCAAGTCTGTTTAAATAGGAGTCAGGCAACCTTTTAAGTCGATGATCCATATCCAATTATGAGAAGAAACATAACCTATACCCACACATAGAAGATGGGTAAACAAACAAACAGTTTAGAAAGCATTGAACTTAAATAAGGAGTTAGAATGTTTAATAACTACTCTGTATTCTCTAGTAAATCAACTACAATATTATATATTTATAGTTTTTGATCATTTCCTCATCTATTAAGCATTATAAATTCCAAATGGTTTTTAAGAACCACAAATCTACACCCATTGAAACTGGAATAAAATAACATCCTTGTATGTTGAATGTTCACATTCCTACAATAGGGACTAAAATTGATACAGTTTAGGAAAACCAATGGAAGTATAACCAGTAATTATTTTTGGGCTACTCCTGCTATAAGTTATGGAATCTCAAAACTTAATACCCAAAGAATCTGGGGCGGAAATATCAGCGCACCAAACACTTCAAAGGATTCCGTAGAAATGTGACTTTCTCCACACACACAAAATGTATGTGAGACTCAACAAGAACACGCATTGAATAAAACACGTCAAACCATACTTTTCAAAAAAGCAATAGAACAATCGGTGAATTCACTGCCAGTTCTACTCTACCTCAGAATCCTATAGTAGCTTCAAACATCTCCCAATCACAATATGAGTGCGTACCTTAGAGGGGTATGATTTTTCTGAAATTCAGAAACAGGGGCATGGAATCTGAGGCTTTTGAGCAAAGGACTTGAGATAGAATGAGAAATCAAGTACTCCGTGCACTGCACTACTGAGAGCTAGAAAATCAGTGTCAGCTACAGCAATAAATCCATGGCAGCTGGTTTTGTCATCTTCTTCAAAAAGGAAATCAAATTCTAACGCATACGGTCTAAAAGTCTAAAAATACTGATTATTGTTTAGCCCAAAAGTCGTGGCCTAGAAGAAAGATTTAGCGCCGTAAATAGCGCGGGCTTTTGTAGTGACTTGATGCCTTCACATTCAGATGTTTGGGCATATTTCCGAAATTGCATATAAGTCCCTGTTTTAGGGAGTATTGAATACAGTTAAGATTGTAAACGAATTGAATCGAATAGTGCGATTTTGTATTTGTATTTGTTTAAATTTTTCGAATATGAGTCCGAATTCGAATATGAAATGAATATTATTTTTGATTTGTATTTGTATTTGTTTAACAATACGAATAGTTAACGAATCATATACGAAATCGAATCGATTTGATCATAAGTTAAATATTAGTTTTTTTACAAGTTAAATATTAGTTGAATATCACTTTAAAACAAATTTTCCTATATTTCTTATGTTATAAATGCATACTATGACTTAATATGTATTTTAGAAATTAATTTATAACATTACATTTTTCCTTAAAATTTAATGGATCGATGCATTTTTAGGTTATGCACAATATGCTAAAATGAATCACTTTTATGATTCCTATACATAAATATTTTTCAAAATTTTTGAAATAAACACTAACACACACATATTAGAAATTATACATATAATGTGTGAAATAAATTGATAATTGAATATATTTATTACTTTCAAATTTAAATCATAATTTGTGAATCCAAATCATGGATGAAATTAAAATCATTTGTTTCGTTTGCAACCCCCACTTCTTATGTTACTTCTGATTTATTACAAATTGGCTTGGAATGTGTATACCTAAATGTATATATGGGCTACACTTTGAGGGTATGGCTAGCTTTTAAAAGTTATTATAGTGCTATTACTATTATTATTACTATTATTAATATTTATCACTAATATTAATCGAATATATTTGATTAACATTCGAATCGAATATAGTGATATTCGTATTTGTATTTGATAACAATACGAATCACATTTAGTATTTTTATTTGAATTTGAATTTTTCGAATACGAATCGTCTTATACGAATTCGAATCGCGAACAGAACATAAATTATTAGATTCGTTTACAACCCTATTTGCAAGTGGCAATCGCAAGCTGAAATCTAACCTCAGAAAATAGGTCCGCAAGATTTGATCGTTGGGAAAAGGTACAAATATACATTGTAGTATCGGTGTGAGAACAAATATACTCATGTTTTATTTTCCGGAACAAATATACCCCTGAAGTGTATATAAAATTGCATGTATACCCTTGAACTTTTTAAAAGGTACAAATATACCCCTCATATTCTTACAAAGGAGCAAATATACCATTATTGACTTTCAATTGATAAAAAAATTTCAGAAAACACCAAACATAAATTATAAATTCAAAATTAAAAAAATAAAAAATAAAAAATGTACTTGTGTCCAATTCTCCCTTTTATTGTTTGTATATCACTTTTAAATATTTTTAGTATAAAATGTTAATTCAAAACTTTACTATATATTTAAGATTCTTTTGAAAAAAGTGTTAACATATGTGCTCCAATATAAAAAAAATAATTCTTTGCATTCTTTGCAGTATAAAATTACATAATTTGTCTGATAATAAATAGCTCAAGAATAAAAAATAGTGAATTTAATTTTATTAAGGTTAAACAAAATCAAAGAATGTTATTTCAAAAAAATATAACAATGTGTTCGAAATTTCATAACAAGACTAAAATTAATATTTATGAATTTGAAGTGCCAAAAATATCAAACCTATTGACAATAAATGCCTGCCGATATAAAAATATTTTGAAAGTGCCAAAAATAGTCTAATTTTTTTACACATTTTCATTAATAGTCTAATTCTTTGTACACTCTTTTTTACAGATGTAAAAAAATCGCACAGAAAATTTCAGAGGCCATTTGGCAATTTTGTTTGTTGACTTATCAGACTTATCAGCCAACTTTTTTATCAAACACATAATTTTTACTTTCGTGCGCTGAATTGTGAAATAATCAGAGAAAGTAAGGTTGGTGTTACTTTTCTGGCTATATTGGCTGAAGTTATTGTAGATGACCATTTTAGCTATTTTACATATAATTTTTTCTTTATTTTATTAATAACATATATTTTAAAAATATTTTTTTCATAAATCAGCAAAATCAGCCAATGCAGCCCGAACTTCATAAATTACAGCAGAATCAGACAAATCGTCCGATTTTCGTGCTACCAAATGGGATCTTAGTTTTTAAAGTTATGCTACAGATAAAATGTAGACCGAAAAAAAGTTTAGAAAAGAAAAAAATTGACAACAATAATCTCACATTTGACCGATCTTTTTATAATAATCTCACTTTTACATAATCCTAGAATAACCCCACTTTTGCACCTCATCTTCTATCATTGGAACCTGGTCGGTTGATGACCTACTATACTCAGCGACGGATTGGGGGGGGGGGGGACGATAGAGCAACTCATTGTTTAATACTTAGGATACTTATTATATAAAAATTCCTAGTTTTGTAATGTTTAATTATCTTTATTAGATAATTAGTACTCGATTTTGTAAATATCAAACGATATTAAATACCGGACACACTAATTAAACAGTTTTAGACCATGTGAAGTTAATACAAAATATAAATATTTGTTGACATTGAATTACATAATTCATTTACTTCTTACTTTCTAAAAACAATTTGTTGCATACATAATAAACTTTAACTTAATGTAGCATTAATACAAATATAATATGCACCATATAAATTAACAATATTGCATTTAATATTATTCTAAAAATAATAATCTCATACTCCGTACATACTATTGCAATATTAAGAAAACTCCTCGTGACCCACGAACGCCCTCCTTGGTAGACAAAAATTGCAATTCAAAAATCAATTTTTTTTAATAAATTCATGTTTTTAAACAAGGCAAAAATTATTTAAACTCTTTACCTTCAAATAATTTAATAAAATATCATATATCCCGTTTAATTTTCAAATAACTTTTCTTTAATTTTTCATTTCTTATTACGTTTTAATGTATCAATACTTTTTTGTAGAGCACTTACAGGTATACAATCAAAGTTATTTTTATGTCGTATAAACTTAGAATGTAATAGATTTAAATACCATCATGTATGTACTAATGAAATTTTTTGAATAAAAATTAGTCGGAGAGTCCTACACTATAGAAAAAATTTGCTCCGCTGAACTATTGAAAAAAATTCCGCACCGCTACACTAGTAAAAAAAATCGGCCCACGAGACTAGCGAAAAAAATTCATTCTTTATCTAACCAAAAAAATTCGGCCCCCTTGACTCTAATTCCTAGATCCGTCCCAGACTACGCCCGGTTCTTTGTCTTTTCTTTAAAGATCTTACATATATAACCTCACATGTCACAAATCTTCTCAAAATAATCTCATGTTTCATTTTTTCTTTTTTTATCCTAAAATTTTTCTTTCCTTATTTTTATCGCTACACTTTTAATTCCATTTTACATCCTTTTGTTTTTGTTTCTTTTCCATATTTATAATTTTATTTCTCACTCTATTTTGAGACTTTTTTTATAATATTTCCTTTTTGGATAGATTTTTTTATCATTTTATTCTTTCAGTATTTTTATTTCATTTCCCTTTTTACGTGTTAAAAGCTTTGTGATAAAAATAAGGGGAAAATGGAAAAGAAGAAAGAAAGCAAAAACCTATTGAGGAAAAGGAAAGAAAAAACATAAATGGGTTAAATAAAAGAAATAATAAGAAGATGAAAAAAGAAAATAATGTGGCAGTGTTGTGAGCAGATTCGTGCAAGGTGAGATTATTTATATAAGATTTTCAAAAATAGGCAAAATATCTAGTATAGTAAGTCATCAACTTATCAGGGTTCAACAAAAAAAGATTATGTGCAAAAGTGATATTATTTTGTAATTACGTAAATGTGTGATTATTAAGAGAAGACCGGTCAAATGTGTGATTATTATTATCAAATTTTCCTTTACAATTAAAATGACAAAAATTGTATTACTTTTTTGTACACATTGTCAAAAGAAATCCACCGACAATTTTTCCGGTATAAGTAGACCACGTCGGTCGGAAAAATCAAAATTTTGTACTATAAAAGTCTGGCACAAATAAAAAGTGTTTTCAAACTAGTTAAAAAATAATATTTTTGTACACATTTTCAAAATCTATCACTCTAACAATTTTTGTCTATATAATATTAGGCCACGTAAAAATGTTAGCCAAAAAAATCAAACCTATTGACATAAATGTCTGCGGTCTGCCGATATAAGAATATTTTGAAAGTGCCAAAAAATAGTCTATTTTTTACACATTTTCAAATCACATTGTGTGGCACTTACAGAGTTACAGTCCCAAAAAATATTTGGCACTAAAAAAAGGATGAGGCAGTATCTGACATTTATTTGCTGCAAAAAAAAAACTGCTCACATTATTTTCTATCACGTAATTTCATAGAAAAATAGCCTTTTAAAGGATTTTGAAAATAATTGTATTTTGAGCAAAGATCATTTTTCCTAGAAAATTATGTGACTGACACACAACGACGGCTGGAAAAAACCTTTTTACGGAGAATAAATGTCTACAATGTCTCAACCTTTTGTGCCAATATGGCAATATCAGATATTTATTGGCCCACACTGTCAATTCTAGACAATATGATTTGAACACAAATGTTCATGTCCGGAATTCCGGACAGGACCCGCCGTCCGGACGGCGTCGTTTGGCTGCCTTTCCGGTGGCATTTGTTGATGAAATTTTTATGACATGTTCTCCATTAAGTCTAGTTTATCCACACAAAAATTCAGCCAAAAACTCAATCTATAGTTATTGATGAGACATATAGATAGTCGGAAAAGATCAGGTCCCTCCGGAGGGACCGAAGCCGCCGTCCGAACTCCGCCGTTTGGGGCGGTTCCCGGTGGAATTTTTTGATGAAATTTTTTGAGCATGTTCCTCATCAAGTCTAGTTTGTCCATACCAAATTTCAGCTCAAAATTCTATCGGGAAGGTTGTCAAATGATTTTTGCAAGTTTACTGGTCCGGAATATGTATTTTCCGGACCAGTTAACTTGCAAAATTCATTTGACGACCTTCCCGGTCGAATTTTGAGCTGAAATTTGGTATGGACAAACTAGACTTGATGAGGAACATGCTCAAAAAATTTCATCAAAAAATTCCACCGGGAACCGCCCCAAACGGAGGAGTTCGGACGGCGGCTCCCCGTCCCTCCGGCTGGACCTGATCAGCTCTCTATAGATAGTATATGATTGTCTCGTGTTGGTTAGGGTTGGCTATATTAATTTTTGACTTGCCTCAAGATACATTTTCATTTTTGAGATTCATGTTACTTTCTTAGTTTGAAATTTATACCCGTTTTACTCTTTATTTTTAGTTTTTAACAAGTAAAGATTTTTTATTAGGGCCCGTTTGGTACTCTATGTTTCGTCATGTCTGCCAAATTTTGTAACAAATGCTCAATTTTTTTTTCACACACTGAATTTTTTTATTATATAGGTACTTCACTCCCGTGCAACGGGCCGCACGGGTGGAGTAACTAGTCTAGTTAATATGAAAACGTGATAAGTATGAACTAAGTAATATTAAATTGTGATTTGTGACAAATGAGCGATTCTTGAATCTAACTAGTCATGGACCCGGGCCGGGCCGGTTCCGGGCCCGGCCGGGCTTTTTTTTGGGAAGGAAGGCCCGGGACCGGCCCGGGTAGCCACCGGGTCCGGGCCGGGCCTCCGTTTTTTTTTTTTTTTTTGCTTTCCTAACCCCCCCTCACCCCCCCCCCCCCCAAAAAAAAAAAAAAACCCAAACCCCTCCTAACCATCAAGCCCAACCCGGGTGTATCCCAAAAAATGAAAAAAAAAAAAATCAATTAGGCCCGGACCCGGGCCCGACCCGGCCGGGCCGGTTCGCCAAATACAAGGCCCGAGCCCGGACCCCCCCCCCCCCCACCGGGCCTAGGCCCGACCCGGACCCAGACCCGGACCCGAGAACCGGGCCGGTTCCGGTCCCGCACAGTAGCGGGCCGGGCCGGTCCCGGGCTGGGCGGCCCGAACCGGGTCCATGACTAAATCTAACGCTCCAAATTCTTTATCATTTCTCTCCATAGATTGTGTTCTCATTTGATCCAAATAATGTGGGTGTGCGTGCGTGTGTGCGTGCGTGTGTGCGTGTGCGTGTGTGCGTACATGTCTGTGTGTGTATTAAATACATAAAACCACCAGACTCGGTGAGGTAAGAGTTGGGAAAGTCTTACCAATTTATATATTTTCATATATGAGTATGTATTTCAAAAAAACACTCCCTCTGTTCTCTAATACTTGTCCCTCTTTCCATTTTAGGATGTTCTCTAATGGTTGTTCCTCTTTCCATTTTTAGAAAATTTTATCAATAAATATATCTTTATACTCTCATTCTCTTTCATACTTTTTCATTCTTTTTCCTACTTTTTCATTTAAACAAAACCCACTACACATTTTATCTTACCCCTATTAATTCCTTCTTAAAACTTGTGTCAAATGCTATACTCTCATCTATTAGAGAACGCATGGAGTATAAAAAATCAAAATACTAAGTATACAATACTAAATAAGCTTAATTAAAAAATATTATTAAATCATAATTATGGCAATATTTGATAACTATCAGATGATATTTATCAAAAGAACTCATTGTACAAAAATAAGGGTACAAATAGATCTTTTGAGAGTATATATTTGTATGCGACGACTACTAAATGTTAAAAAAATATTTTCAACTACAACATATAAAAAAGATGTTCGAGTAACTTATTTCAGTAATTGTTATAGAAATAGTAGTTCAATGAAGGTTGTAAAATAATAAGTATATAATATATAGTAGCAAGTAACTTTGGTAGTAAATTAACGATCAATAATTAAAACGGTGGAAGTCTCCGTTGTAGCAATTATAAAAAAAACGGTGGAAGACAAAACTAGATGTTTGTATTTTGACCAATTCGCAACCCGTATTGTCAACCTACAAAACGTGCATGTTGACCCACGAAACCGGTTAATTAATCGGGTTTAAAATGAAAGCTTTAACCCACTATGAAACAGGCTACCCTGAGGTATCTTTGTGGGCTTTTTAATACTATCTTTGTTCCATGTAAATGTTCATATCCACTATTCTCCCATCAATGTAAAATCTTCTTAATCTTTTATTTTATACATCCATTTTTATCAGATTTGAGTTTTTTTGCGACTTTATAAAATTTCAATGTAGTTTCTGAATATGTAAATTCTATTTGCTAAAAAATCTAATTGCGAACAAGAATATGTAAATTTCATCTGAAAACAGTCTATATGCTTTAGTACAGGTAGTGGTGGACTCGGGGCGGGCCACCCGGCTCGTGAACCGGCCCGGTCCGCTACTGTGCGGGCCCGGACCGGCCCGGTTCATGGAGCCCAATACCAGGCTATGACCCGAACCGAAGGTAATAGTGGGGCGGGTAGCCGGGTACGGGCTAGGCAAAAGTTGAACCGGCCCGGCCTAGTTCAGGCCTTACGGCTAGTTTTTTTAAAAAAATAGCCAAACAGGGCACTAGCCGTTGCCAAACAGTCCCAAACGCCTATATAGCCGTTGGGTGGGGGTGGGGGTGGGGGGGTCCCAGGCGTGGGGGGTGGGGGGGGTCGGGGTGGGAGTAAAAAAACCTATAAATACTCTCATTTTTATACATTTTTCTACACCGATTGATTATTAATTATATTACTCCCTCCGTCCCAATTTGATGGTCTCATTTCTTTCGAGCACAAATTTTAATAAAGTGGTTGAAAAAGTAAAAGTTGTGGTTGAGATTTGAGTAGAAAAAGGTGAAATGATGTGGACCACATCTTTCTTTCCAAAAAGGGAAACATGACCATCATTTTGGGACATCCCAAAAAAGAAATATGGGACCATCATTTTGGGACGGAGGTAGTATTATTTATTAGAAAATGTATTTCATATTGTAATTTTTTTCTCAATTCTCAAATGTAGTTCCTCTTTCAAATAAATGCTCTTGAACTTTGTTTTTAATATCCAGCACTTGTATAAATCAGTAGGGGAAAAACAATTGGAAACTTACCCGGCCCGGCGGGTGGCCCAACCCGTGACCCGGGCGGGTGGCCCGGCCCAAACCGGCACCGGCCACAACACGGGCCGGTCTCGGGCTTCGTTCCAGCAATCTGAGGCCCGACCAGGCCTAGGCCCGGTCCATGTCTAAGTACAGGGGTAAGACTGCGTACTTCTGATCCCCCTTCCCCACGGTAGGTGGTGGTGGTGGTGGTGGTGGTGATGATGATGATGATGATGATGATGATGATGATGATGATGATGACGAACAAATATATGTTAACTTTATGGTCAGACAAATATCGTAAAGTGCGTGAAAATCTTTCTACGAGACAGAGGAAGTAACTATTTGTTTTTAGAGACCGAAAAGAAAATTAATGTAATTGCTTGATTTAATTTGTTTTGTATATCAAGCAGTTGTAATTAAATAATGCTAAAAGATAGAGAAAAAAAGATACAAATGCTAAAAGATGTATGCTAAAAGATACATACTTTCTATTCAGTGTAACTTCTATAAAAATTATTGTTTGAAAAGCCCTTAAAAATCATTGTGACAACTTGCAAACATACCAATATACACATTTAGAAACTTTTAAAATACGAGTAAGACAAAAGCTAAAAAGAAGAGATCTATTTCTATTTTCTACTAAACATGCACTAAGAGTTGAAACCCTAAGAGTTTGCATAAATAATCTTTTAAATTAGAGCCAATTTGATAACTCTTTTTTGAACTTATCAAACTTATTAAGTTATTAGTTAACATCTTTACCAAACATATAACTTTTGATTCCAAACGTGAAATTGTATTGTATTCAAAATAAGTAGAGTTGAAATTACTTAGCTAAATTGACTTAAGTTAGTGTAGATTACCATTTAACTATTTTTTATAATCTTTTCTTTAATTTATTAAAAAACTATATTTTAAATTTCATTTCTCCATCATTCAACAGACTCAATCGCTTCAATAATAACTTCGTCAACCTCTCAGCTGATTCAACCAATTTCAATATTACCAAATGAACTCTAAATAAATACAAATTATTGTTTGACACATTAAAAAAATTGAAGCCAAACGAACTCTAAATAAATACAAATTATTGTTTGACACATTAAAAAAATTGAAGCCATAATCCATGATGGAATAACTCAGGCTTCTTGCTCCAAAGATGATGGCAGCAGACACATTACAATGCATCAAACTTTGTGATACTTAAATTTCTGCCCTACGTTAAATCTGCTTAATTTGCTACCATTTCCTTCCAGCACTAGTAATCTCACTGCCTGAACCCCTTCACTCAGTGCAGTGTTCACCTGTTCCCGTTCCGTTTCACTAAATTTCTGCAGTAAAAACGCCTTCATATCCATTTTTCCTGGAGGGTTCCCGATCCCAATGCAAAGTCGTGGGAATTGATGGCAACCATCCAGATGCTCCATTACACTTTTCACCCCATTGTGAAGGCCATGACCACGTTTAGGCTTAAGCCTCAGTACCCCATTTGGTAAACTCAACTCATCATGAACCAGTATGATATGCCGCAATGGCACTTGATAAAATGTAGCTAGTGGTCCAACCGATTCTCCACTAAAATTCATGTAAGTCTGAGGTTTGGCTAATATGATGGGCACCTCTCCAATCGAACCAATTCCTATCAATGCCTTCGATTGCAGTGTGTTCAACAAAATGCCTTCTTCTTGAGAAATCTGATCAATCATTTCGAAACCAACATTGTGACGTGTTCCATGGTATTTGCTACCAGGGTTACCCAACCCCACAATCAACCAGGGTGTGTACTCAACCTTGATTTGATTTGGCTCTAGCGGTGAAGCCAGTGATGCTCGCATCCTCACTTGAGCTAAATTCCTTGGATAAAAAATGGGATGTCTGGGGTAGGTTATTTTGCAACATGTAGGAGGGTATACAGCACACAACATTGACCTCTGTCGAATTGCCGACTTCTGATGCTTGCCGAGGAGTTGTGAAGATGAGACAGCAGATGGGTGGAAGAGCTGAAGAGGTAATTAGTTTAACACAGCATGAAATACAATATGTAAACAAACACCACTGAATTCCTTTAGCAAGTAAGAAATTTTAGTTACAGTTTCATAGCAATGCCTGCCTTGCAGTAGTGGATACTGATTGCAAAAACTTAACAAACAGCATAGTTGCAAGTAGAGGGGGACATAAAATTTCAGAAATTGGAAAAGTAAAACTAAATGGATTACATATTTAGTGTAAAATGGGGGATATTCTAACAGAAAAGGTGTTAGTTACGTTCTTAAGTTATTTTCGCTTTGCTTTTGGAAATTTTGCATATTTGCTTCCCATTTATTTCAATAGGCAGCTTTTGTGTCTATTGTTGGACTATTTGGATCTTTAGCAATATTTTTCCAAGTGGGTATGCCCAGACTCAAGTTGTCTGGGATTTAGAGATAAAGTTCATTTAACACATAATTTATTTAATACAAAAAACTAATACATATAAAATAACTTCAATTGCAAGAAGATAAAATACAAAAAGAAATACTACTAATATTTTACAAGAATAGAAGGTTTCATCAAAGTCAAATAAAAAAAAACATTACAAATTTAACTCTACAACAATCCACCACATCATATGATAAATTAGATAATACTAAACACTTGAGAAGATTCTCGCAAGTAACTATCATATTAAAAACAATGGGGTTAATACTTTAAAAACTATTTTTTAATTTAGTTAAATACTCGTAACCAATAAATTTTAAACATATACAGGTGTGATTCATGATGTCTAATTGTTAGATCTTACAAAGTTACCAACCACATTGTTGTGATAATGAGCTATGGTATTCCAACCATTCATGTTCAGAAATTCGAAAGGTTATCCGATTTCTTGGTAAGGTAAAAGAAATTTGGGAATATGCTTAGCAAACATAAATGATGCTAACCGCCCCTGTTAACAACAAGAATGTTTTGAATATTATTTATAAAAAGTTGCCAACAGAGTTGTATTATAAAAATAAATCACATTGATATATTAATTCACTGTCTTTGCAATACATGTTAAAAACAGTGCACTGCAAAGGTATTTGTAACAGTATTTCAGTAACTGTCTTCACACAGCAAAGAGAAACTTAAGCTTTTGTTCTATGCTCTAACACAATCTAATTTGTTAACACATTAACCTAAACCAGATTTTATCACTTCCTGTCATCAAATGTTGGGTTAAAAATAATGCACAAGTGCCTTTTCACATCAAAACAGATATTGAAAAATGAGATTAAGTTCAAGGATATAAAACGAAGACTTAAGATTGAATTGAAAAAATAAAAAGATAAAGAAATGAAGTTGGAATGATCGAATAAAGAAGGGAAAACAGTCAATTTGGTCGGCGTACTATCACGAAAAAGTCAATTAGGTCCTCATACTTTAAAAAAACCAATCAGATCCCCGAACTTTAAAAAATGTTCAATTGGGTGATTTAATAGGATACCCGCTGACGTGACGCACACGTGGCGACCCACACATGTGCCACATCATCCGGAAACAACTGTTTGGGCTTCCGCGTGTGCGCCACATCAGCAAAGTCACTGCTGACTGGTCTGCCACATGTGTGCCACATCAGCGGTGACCTGCTGACATGGCGGGTAACTTGCTAATTGACCCAATTGAACATTTTTTTAAGTTCGGGGACTTAACTGATTGTTTTTGTAATAGTACAAGGCAGAATTTTTACATTTCTTTTGTTCTTAAATTTAACTAATTGAAATTTCAGAAAACTACAATTTAGTAATTGAACAAAAGATGGTCAATTGATAATTGAATTTGAAATTTCTCTAAAACACAATTTGGAAAATAATAACAAAAAAAGGACAATGAACATGTAAAACGGGAAGGGGCCTAATCAGGGGCGGAGCCAAGGGGGTCAGGGACCCAGTGTGGTAAGCCCCCCCCCCCCCCCCCCCGAGAGTTTCACAATACAGAGCTCTGAAATACCTTCGATTTAATATATTATGGCTCACGTAACTCATTACGAATAAAAAGATATGACTTCTGGAAAATCAGCACTATCTAAACTTAAAATTAGTGAAATTTGATGCGTAATATTGATTATATTCCCAAATCTTAAAAATAGTGTATAGTTTACTTATTACGTGACAAATCAAAGAAAGCCTATCTTACTGATATGAGTGTCTACTCAATAGCCGATTCTTTTGTGGTAAAAAATTTTGATATTAAGTCGGGTGAGAGGGGAGGGCACAGTGTCACATATGAGGTACAACCGGTGCGGAAACCCTTTGACTAAAGCCATATAAACAAGTTTATTTTACATGATATATAAGACATGTATATCAAATCTATATCTCTGTTAGTCTCATTTAAATTGTCATTTATCTAAACTACATATGAAACATTCAACTTCGAAATTCTGGGTGCCGTGTAAGAGGAGATGCAATTATTATTATTATTGAAAAGTCAAATTTTTAGAACCGGTCGTGCATCTAATAGCGGAATGTCGTGCATCCAATAGCGGAATGAGGGACGATGGTGACGATGTGTCGACCCAGCTCGACCGAACACTCCAGATAGTCGTGCATATAATAGCGGATTTTTTTTATAAAAAGGCTAATTCTTGCTATACACAAAACATAATCATTATCCTTAGAAATGAATTAGGCCTAGTGGTGGACTCAGAAAAACGATCCAGGTGTGAAACTCAACTATATACAGAATGAAAACCATGGATCGTTTTTAGACAATATTGAAGTTGAATGTTTCATATGTAGATTAGATAAATGGCAGTTTAAATGAGACTAATGGAGATATAGATTTGATACACATGTCATACATATTACGTAAAGTAAACTTGTTTTATACGGCTTTAGTCGAAGGGTTTCCGCACTGGTTGTACCTCGGATGAGACATTGTGCCCTCCCCTCTCACCCAACTTAATATCAAGATTTTTTATCACAAAAGAATCGGCTATTGAGTATGCACTCATAACAATAAAATAGGCATCATCCACATGACCCCATCAAAATAAATTTTCACATAGGAAAACTTCTTAGTTCGCTCTTAAGTAAATAATTAAAGATAATAGGCGAAGGTTTCGGAAAAAATTATTTATACAGAGAAAAATTAGTCACGAAAAACTGAAATAGACAAAAAAAACTGAAGTACGCATAAAGCTCACCTCAAATTTAGGTAATCCTAACTGACTATGGAATAACAAAAGACCATGAGAATTAAGCCTGCTCATTGGTGGAGTGTAATGATCTTATTGTTTGAGATGTTTAATTGAAAAGTAACTTTTAATTTTTTTTCTTTGAGAAGGAAAGGAACCTCACATTAAGTTTAATTTAAAATACCTCGCTATGAGATTTCTATTTGTCATTTTCAGCTTCCTTTTATTGCCATTAGAGAGAAAGTTCAACATATCTGCTACGGATAATTGTAACGCAATAGAGAAATAATTGTGTATAGTGAAAAGGGAGTGATAAATCAATCTTCATATCTGCTAAGGATAAAAATACCAAAACATAATGTTAAGATTATACCTCCACTTTCAAGTTTCAACCACTCAATCTGCTACTACAAAAATCATATCAACCTCATTCATGCTATATTCCACTCCAAAGTCTACTAATCAGGAGCTTTACGGGAACGTCTACCTTGGCTAGCTGATTTGCAAAGCTTAGTCCGCTCCAGTCAGGCTTCCTTCCCCTACACCAGCATAGAGTTGTTTTACCTTAATTACTTGACCTGAAATTATTGAATTTATACTTGTGACACAAAAAAGAAATACAAAGGAACCGCTTTTTTACTTTTTAGGAGGAAAAATATAGTCACCAACGGCAACTATAGTAAGACCAGGAAACTCAACCAATGCCAAGTTCAGAACTGTCAGTAGAAAAGGATAAAAATACAATAAGCTAGTCATGCTTCAGACTTCTGGATGGCATTCATCCAAATCTAAGCCCAAGCAAGAAAGCCAACAACTTTAATATTTCACAGTGGCCGAAACAGAATTTTTTTTCAGGGGCCGCCGGGACGAAAAATTGATAATAACCGTAACGAAAATTAAATACATCTATCTAATTGCTTATATTCAAAACATTATAAAATAGGTTTACACAAAAATACTAAACTAATGGATTTTATGTCATGCAATTACTAAATAAGGAGTATACCACTTGTTCATTACACATTGAAACACATATAACTAAATATAAACATAAAGCCAACTGTATCGCTACTCAAAACAATTATAAGTTGCTCCATATATGTATATATCACATAATATTCTAAAATCAACACTACACAATACCACCAAATCACGGAATCATAAAACTATATTTACAAATTACAACATAAGAAGGTGGTTATACATGCTATTTCATCTCTCACAAAAAGAAATTTCAATGTTTCAATTACCTTAACTCACTTGATTCTTGGGAGTTGTGGTATTGTCGTATTGAAGCTGGAGGAGTTGAGATTTCAGATTTGAGCGATTGAGCAATTGAGACCGCCGACCGCTATAGCTATAACCTTCTTCTCAGCTTCGCCGGCCGCCCGGACTCGTTTAATTCGCAACTCGTTAGCCGTTTCTCGTTCTCGCTGAACCGAGACTTCTGCAGCGAAACGGTGCCTGGACGAAGAGCAGCAACAGACGACGTATGGAGAGAAGTGGCAGAAGGCGACAGGCGATGGAACAACTAGAGGCAACGGAAGGTTATCCTCTTTCTTGGGATAGCTCATTGCCCCATTCTTTTAAGAAAAATGACTTAGGTACACGTTTTGTGTACACATGTCTGTCCTTCACAGATAAAATTGTCTGTGAAGTACAGACATGTGTTCACAAAACGTGTACCTCTAACAAAACCCTCATCTAACCGCGCTTCACTCCTTCGCTACATTACTGCCACGTGGCCTAACGCTTGGAAATCCTTGAAAACAACAACTAAAAAACGTTTCGTAAAAACGGAAGAACCATCCCTTATTATTCTCACCTCCCCCACATTTCACTCCTTTCTAACGCACACAACCCTCACCAATAATCAAGTTTCCGCAATAACCTCAAAATTTATCCCAAACTTTCAACCCTAAATCCCTTTTCCGCCTATATGGAGTACTTCTAAAGGTTTTTTCCGATTATGGTCTTCCCCTCACATGTTTTTGGTAAGGACTGAAACTTTACATCATAAGTTCATTTTTATTTTATTTATTTTGTATTTTGCATCTTCAAAATGTTATCATTCTAACATGATATTGAAATTAAGTGTGCTAGGATATACATCGTATATCCAGTTTATATGTTGCATGTGTTCTGTTCAATGAAAGGTTTAAATGATATTTCCAGCAAATATCAATAGCAAGAAGTGTAACATATATACAAGATAAAGCATATAAGGTGTTTGATAAAATGTTTATATGAAAAAGGATATCAGTTTTTAAACTTCAGCTTATCAGTTTAGTTATTTTTAGTTTAGATGATATATTTCAATGTGAAATAACAGGATGCACTGTTTTTGTAATGAACATATAAGGCTAATAGAAATTGCAAGTCTATTATCTTCCATGTAAGTTTTGGGCATGTGAACACGAAGGCCACCTTTGAACAATGAAATTAAAAAAATCTAACTACTACCTTTAAACATTTGTATTCCCCTTTTTTGTGTATAAGGTTCAAAAGCATATTTTTTTCATGACAAACCATAACTAAATGTTGTGTTTCTGTGTTTACTTTTTGTTTTTTTTTCAGTTTCGCCATTATTGAAGCAATTCCATTTAAATTAGTATTAGAGTTTTACTTGGTTGTGCTTACTATGTTGTTGAATTTGACATTTTTTGGATATAATATATTAATATATCAACTTTTTCATTCATTGTTCATTTGTTCTAAATCAGTTTTTTGAACTAAATTACAACAACATAATAGACTATAAAAGTAGGCATAGACCTTAATTTGAGTTGCTTGGATTAGTTTATAGCAGTCACTCTCATACTGGTTTTGTTTTGTTTGTCATCTCTGTTCCTCTGCAAGATAAACTCTAAAGCATAGATGTTACTTAGGGAATTAACCTTCACATTAGCTTTCAAAAAAACTGATTCCTGTGAGTACTTATAGTTGGAGTTCCGTGTTCCGTAAAATAAGAATTTCATATGTTACTGTAATACCAATACAGATTATAGTTTTAGAGTCATTTTATTACTTTCAGGCCATCAATGTAATTGTGTTCATCCAACCTCTTATGATCTTGGTCCGGTCTGAAATTGATAGCAATCTAATTAAAAACGTAATTTAAACCTACTTCTTTAACTTATTTTAAACTCTGTTTTGCTATCTTAAAACCACTAAAAATTCAAAGTTATCAAATAAAAAACATAATCAGTAGCTAATAAAAAATACTCCGTATTTCTTAATTGGTTATAATTAATATTGTTTGTTCCTTTACATCTTCTACCATTTGATGTTCAAACACTTTATTATTATATTGGATGTCCTCTAAAACTAAACTGCTCTTCTTGGGCTATGAGATTTAAAAAACAGTACTAGAGATCTTAAAGTTATAGAAAATAAACTTTATTATTTTAATTGGATTACATAATTATATCTCATTGCTCCTTGCATAAAAAACAGACGTAGATCTCATTCTACTCATTTTCATTGTTTGAGAAATATATCTCTTTATTTATCACATATTCACATGTTTTTAATTCTTTTTCACATATAGGTGAGCATGGTGCAAGCCTTATCCTGCCTTTAGCTTTTCTAGATTTAACTATATAATCCCACTTTTTTAGAATCAAAATGAGAACATTAAGTTCTAATAGGGAGTATAACCTTTGGTTATTGAATTGTATCACCTTTTTCTACCATATTTATTGTTTAACCTTGCTCGATTTCAAATGTTAACTAACTGAAATTCTTTTTTTTTTTAAACCTGGATCACACCGATGTAGAGATATGATGACTAGAGGTTATGTATTAGTTAACTTTAAATTTGTTTCCATGTATTAATAACGGTAAAAGACTTGGTTATTTTTCTGATCCTCAATTCAAGCTTTCCCACATTAGTGTTAAAGCAACCATCAATTTTTTTACCAGTTGAATTTGGAATGTGAAACATAGAATTTATGAAACATTATATAGTTTACATTGGGGATGATATTATGATCATATAAGGGCCGGCCATCATATAAGTTTTTGGGGGCTAGACATTGATGAATTCAATTCCCTGGATGCAAAAGAGATGAACTTAGAAAATGTGAGATTGAGGTGATTAGTTCAGAACTAGAGATTTTATGATTATTAGTTAGACCTAAGAAAATTATATTTGTATTTAAAAAAACTGCAACTTTACATAATTAAGCCTGTGTAGTTACCAATTTACCATCTATTATAATATAATAGTAAATGGGTTTTGCTACAGTTTCCCGCCCATTTCACTGCAGGACCACAATAAATACCGTATGTATAGATTCACTGGATTGTTTATTGTTTAATTCATGTTGTACTTCTACAAGACGCACATGTGTATTCCCGTAAGAAGTATAAATGAGTATCCATGCTGTTACGTATCCCAACACACTTATTAAATTATTGATTTACTTTTCTGAAGAGCTTACTATTACTGCACTATTGCCTATGTGAATAACATAACAATCCATGCTGTTACGTATTCCCAACGCTACTACCTATACGAATTACATAGCAATTTCCAAAGTCCTTTATGAAAGAAAAAAACAGTATATAATTACAGAATAAACTCTTCTTTTCAATGACTCTACGATTCCCTGATGTATATATATACACATCCACTGTTGCGCACCATCGTTGACATTGTATGATTGCATCATTGAAGGCCTTTTAAATAATACTTTCGCAACATCTTTGTTAATCTGTCCAACTAACCAAAATGGTTGTGATGTGGAGTATGACAATGGACATCGACCAATCAAAGTCATCCTGAGCAGTAAAGGTTCGTTCCGTTCGTGTTTATACTGTCACCAGGCCAATGTCAAGCTGCCAGTGTAGTGTCGGTGATGCAAAGGTGAGCAAAGATTTATGCAGAGTATAACAGTGATGATAATGAAATGTTAAGCATGCAATTATATATCAACTGTTTAGAATATATAGAATTGTCAATATGTTCATGATTTTGATGTGATCAAAATCTTTGCTTTGCAAAGTATAAACCTTTTTGATCAAACTTTAATTGTTACATGAATACAAAAATGAGATATTAATAATCTGCCAGAATTCAAAATTTGTTTCTTGTGAAATTTAATATTCATCAAAGGGAACAGAGTGGTATAACAACAGGTAAAAATACAATAACAGGTAAATATAAATCTTGAATAAAAACACAAAGTTTCATGAATCTTACACATTTTTAAGCTGCTATTGTATTCTAAAGTTCTTTACTTTTTAACCAAAGAATATACGTAGTATCTATATGGCTCAAAAATATAAATAGCAGTTTAATAAATCATATTGATGTTTTTGCCAAAAAAATCGTAAAATAAAAACAACCATATATATTCTAGATTTGTAATAACTCGGAAAATAGGTATTTATTCCAATTTTGGTTCTATTTTTTTTTATAAATTTACTTTCATTTTCAATGTTAATCCATCAATACCAAATACTTTGTTAATCCATCATTATATGCAATAAAGTGCCAATATTCAGCGTTAATAGCATGTACCTGTCTGTCTGATATGCACAATCCTTTTCTTTTTGAATGAATCTGACATGCATAATGCTTTTCTTTTTGAATAAATCTGATATGCACTTTTTTATACCGATGTGCAAAATCTGTTAGTCACTTCTAAAAATAGAAAGATTTTAAAAAATCATGAATTGCAATTTCGGATTTTTTAAAACAAAAGATAAAGGAGAATTTTATAAATATTTTAGATGGAGAAGCTTCAAATTTAGACATAGTTTGTTTCAATCCAGTTTATTATCATTACTAAAAATCTCAGTTGAGGGAGATATTTTTCAAGAACATGAAGAAATTTATAAAAGTTGAAAAAATTGAAAAATACTCCGTATATTTATAACTGAAAATTAATTCATATTGAACAAATACATGCCCTCGCAAAAAAAAAATGTCTTCACTTGCAATTGATTTGAAGAGGGATTGTTTGGGATAACACGCCTTCAAACAGACAAAACAACAATATAATTCATATAAAATATTATTATACAACATAATTTAAATCCAAAGAATTTAATGAGAGAATGGGATGAAAAAAGGGCTTTGCCTGGTAATAATTGTTTAACTGTTGTTTCAAATTAGTGGACTCCGCACTTATCACTGTGAATATAACAGTACAACAATACACATAGTGGACCTCAAGTAACTGAGATCATGGACGAACCTTTGGCTCACAAAAAACCTAAAAGAAGAATTAAAAAAAACAACATGGATAGGAATACTCCAAGTTTGATCGATCTCCTACTACTCATCATCTCAAAAACTATTGTACTGATTGAGGTGAACAGTTTGAGTCGGGTGTTTGAAATAACTTTCATCCAAGGCTCCATCACAAAAGACAGTATATATAAAAAAGACAGTATGCAGCTGATATCAAGGTTGTTAAAATCGCGATTCAAATCGTAAAATCGTACGATTTTACGATTCAAAAACACTAAAACAACTTGAATCGTTGACAAAATCGGAATTAATAAAAATCGTAAAAAAATCGTAAAAAAATCACTAAAATCGCTCAAAATCGCGATTACATACGATTTTCCCGATTTGAAATTTT